ATCTAAAATGTACCAAAAAATTTTTTTATAAATCCAAATAATTTAATTAAAAATAGGCAAATGAACCGAATAGACATTTCTCTAAAGAAGAAATACAAATGACCAACAGTTCCATATCTGGAAAAAAAAAAAAATTATGGTGCTGTTGCCTGCCTTGCAAGCACAAGGTTCCGAGTCTGATCCCCAGTACCAAAAAAAAGAACAAAACCAAAAAGTGATTATGGGGAGAAGCATTTTTAAACAGCCACAGATACAACAGTGAATAAAACAAAACATTCTGTTATCAGAAAGATACATTCTAAGGGAGGGAGACGGAAAATTAAAGAAAAAAGAGGTGAGTGATAGGTCATACTTTAGACAGCAGCAGTCCAAAACAGAGTGGTCACATGGGGCCCAATTATGGACATACATACGCTCCTCGTTTGACAACCTACCCGTGCCAACTATTGTTCAGACTTATGATCCACCACTCAGATTTACAACCCATCTTTTTGTGGTACAATCTGCATATTTGTTTTTGTACAGTACACCTTGTTTATACAGTACTGTAAATTTTGGGGATTGTGTTGTACAGTACAGTACTGTAGTTTTAAGTTGTGATACATTACAGAACATGTAAGACTTATGCAAATAAAAACAAAATCATCAAGTTGGAGTGTCCTCTGACCATTTCTTTGTTCATAATATTATAGTGTATATACTATATACAATTTATTTAGCAGTGAATTCATTTAATGACAGCCATAGAAATGGAGGTCGGGTTAAATGGAGAATATCTGCATTCTGAAGAGCAAGCTGACAAGATTTACTAAACTATGAGACAGGTTTATGAAAAAAAGGGTCAAAGATGACCCTTCAATTCTAAAAAATCTGAAAAACCATGTAGTTATCATTTGTTAGTGGGAAAGTCGATGAAGCTTTTAGTTGTCTCTTGTGCTGTTTTAGACATTTTAGGTATGCAAGAGATGTCTTTAAAATATTCAAATGGAGGGAAGTAGGTTAGTAGAGAGGTGAATCTGAATTTTAGGGAAGAGGTTTTGATCAAATGTAAATGTGGGCATATAGATGACAAAAGGTCATGTGATTAGGTGACATCACTTAAGGAGTGGGTATAGAGGTTTGATGAGTAAGCATTGGGAACTTTGGATTAGAGACCGAGGGTAGGAAGAGATTCAGAACATGAGATGAAGGTAGTGAATGGCGATGGAGGTAGGAAGAAATCCCAAAACAGGAGGGCATGGAGGCCTGGTGAAGAAGGCTGTTGACGAGGCAGGACATCAACTGTGTTAAATGCCACTTGTGGGCCAAGTAGGATGACGATTGAGAAATGATTGCTAGCTTTAGTAACTGACCTTGGAAAGAGCAGTTTGGGCTGTGAAAGAAGATAAATTAGGCAGTATCTTTTTGGGCACAGATGGCAAAAGGGAATTTTGTTTTAAGGATAGTAAAAATTAATTCAGAATTTCTCAGCTAATGATCAAGGCTTACTATATCTACTTTGTGCACAGCATCTTACTACATCCATACAATTCCAACTGTACCTTGGAGCTGCAATCTTACCGAAGGTATGGAAGAGATAACAAAATAATAGAGCCAGAGTATTACTGTTACAATGGTTTTTTTTTTTAATTAAAACATTTTGTTTCACAGAGATGAAGCCTAAATTTGACTTTGAGTTAAAGTCATCATAAAGAGATACATGCAAAACCATGTTTACAGCAGCACAATTTATAATAGCTAAATCTTGGAAATGGCTTATGTGTCCATTGACAGATGAATGAAGAAAATGTGGTATTTATACACAATGGAGTACTACTCTAATAAAAAGAAAAACTTGAGACATTTGTAAGTAAATGGATGTACCTTTAGACCACACTATTAAGCGAAATAAGTCAGACTCACAAGCTTAAATATGGCATGGTTTCTCTTACATGAGAAGCTAAAAAGAAAACAAAGAGATAAAAAGGAAGTAGGGAGATTTTTTTTTCAAATGGGGATAGGCGAACAAGAGATAGGAGAGGAGGGAAAAGAGATGGGAAAAAATAATTGAAGAAAAAAAAATTAAAACAGACCTTTTGTAAATGCAAAAGGGACCAAGAGTTGAAAGGAGCAGGGAGGGGAAAAATAGGGGACAAAAAAAAAATTAAGATGTTATGTACATGTATCAACTCCCCACAATGAATGTAATCATTATTTATATGAGCTGCCCAAGTGAGCACAATGTAATCATTATGTAGAGCAAAAATGTACTAATAAAAAAATAAAAATAAAAAATAGGTTAGATTTAGGCAGATGAAGAATAGGAACAAAGGAACCAGAGGAAAGAATAGCATGGTACTGAGTGAACTGGAATTCATTAAGAAGAGACTGGTGATAATATGAAGAGGTCAAGAGCTTTGACCATCAGTTAAGAAGATCTTTCTATTGTCAATGGAGATTAAAATAATTAAGTAATCCAAATGAAGGTGGATTGATTGTGTCAACTTGAGTAAGAAATGCCCAGCTGGAATGGCTCAGCATAGTTCTGGGTGTGGAAGACCCACCCTAGGGAGGATTGTCACCAGAATGGTGTAAAAGGGAAATGAAGGAGCTCCAGTCTTTGCTTTCACCTTGGATGTCATCTCCTGGCTTCCAGCAGGGACCCTTCTGCCTCCTGACACAGACTCACATGGGACACTACACTGAGCTCCAGGCCTTTGAGTGGATCCTTCCCATCCCCAGTGTGCTCTTCCATACCTAACTCTGTGGGTAGCCATTGTGAGTCAATGTCATAAATTCTTACATATTTGTATATCTTACATTAAACCTCTTTAGTAAGCACTGACTGAAACAATCCATTTGTGATAGTTGAATTTTTTTTAAAGAACTTGTATTTTTGCAAAAACCAATTTTTAAAACAACTTTCACTATTAGAAAACCCCCTGAAATGTGTTCTAGATATCAGTGATGTAAAAGTGAATACAAATAATTGAATTAAAAATTATAATTATCTTTAAGCATGAAGATTTTGCCTACAGGTGATAGAAAACTTCTAGGAAACCATGAATTTCCTTTCAAAATGTTAATCTAGCTTATTTTTCTTCTCCAGAATGGTATTTTTAAAACTATGTTTTAAACAAGAAATAAGATTGAAATAAATCATTTCTAATTTGTTAGTATGTTTATAATCTCAATTTGTTTGAAAAACAGCCCCTTGTTAATCCTACTTTATGGATCTACCTTTAAGAAAAATTTTTCATTTCTAACTCCTATTACATAGACACTAGAAAGAACTTTATTAAAAGAAAGAAATACAGCTTCAAAGTGCTCTTCAAAAATGAGTGTTTTAAGTTTTCATTTGTCTTCAAAACTACCCTAATATAACCAAACTTAATACTTACAACTTTTGCAATATTTATCAATATTGGGGCCAGGGGTTTAGCTGAGTGGTTCCGCCACCTACCTTGCAAAGGCAAGGACCCAAGTTCAATTCCCAGTATCAAAAAAAAAAACAAAAATAATAATTATCAATATCAACTCTTCGGTAGCTACTCAAGTTACTTTTTTTTTCCCAACAAGGGAAGTTATAACTTTTTAAAGTTGAAATTGGCAGCACACTAGCAATTTAAGATTATTCAACATAAAAACCCCAATTTGGTTTCCCCAATATTTGCTAAACTGATAAATGTCCAAATCTAAAGAGAAGGGCATTCTCCTCTAAACGGCAAACTTTCTGGATACAATGGCCTTCATTTAGTATCTAATAAATGAGGCTCTGGACTAGATCATGTAGTATCTGTCTATCTACCCATCCACCTTTATTGTTAACAATCTAATAAGAAAATATGAGTTAGCTCAGAGGCACAATAAATGGTTTCAGGTGTGGATGGGGTTTGTGCTGCTTCTGTTGGTGACCCACAAATTTGGGAAGAGTTGGCACAGGAAAGAGGGAAGGATCTGGGTAGATGTGAGTCAAGCAAGTACTTTTTGGAGCCAGATGGTTGATTTCTGAATGTGATTCTATTACAGAAAATCTGAGTTTAGAGAACTTCTGTGCTTTTATCTCAAATTTACTGAATCTAAATATTCCGTTTAACATCTTAAATAATTATAAAATTGAGTAAAGGAACTGGTCAGTATTTAAGTCAATGAAGGAAAAAATCAACATATTTACTACGCATATTGTTATTGTGGCAACTTCCACAGTAACCTCTTACTCATAAAGAGTACCAGGTATTTTAATTATCATGTATTTTAACTATATATAGTTATATCTAAAAAGTTTTGCATATTAAATGAGAACATGTGATGAAGAAATAGGGCTTACCAGTTAAATTTTAGGCTGGGGTTTAAATAGTAGAGAAAAATTTGCATATTCACTTTGGCATCACTCTGGAAGATGTTAAGTGGTTTCAAAACAGAGATGCTGGTCATCTTTCTCAACTGTTTCATCAAGAAGAATCTTTATCAGGGGATAAAATTCACGAGCTAAATTACTCTAATCACTGGCAAGAATAATGTGATCACAGTAGTTGGAAGTTTTTGATTTATAACTATACTAGTCTCTACTTATAAGACTGCAGTCTATGAGGCAGGGCCATGAATCATTACAATTGTCTACCTGGGAAATGTCAAAAGATTAAGTAAGGGCAGACAAAGAGAAGAAAGGAAAGAACACACATTTCTGGACAGGACACATTCCTCAACTAATGGAAATATGTCAGTAGTGCATCAATCCGGTGCTACAGAAATAACAATTAAAATTTTTAAATCTTCAAGTAAAATGACAAACCATAATGCTTAAAATTCATGAGTAGAAGGCAGATTATCCATAGAAGCACTGATTATTAAATTATTCCTCATTCAGCTATAACTTAGTGATCTACCCTTATATATTTACTGAGAGTTTAGAAAGGCAAATTTAAGAAAATAAATTATAAATTTAAACCCATCACTAATGGACCCAGATTAAAAAACACACACACACACATTGTTTAACTGACACTTTGCCAATACAAAAATAAGCATCCACAGAATGTTTATTTACTGTTTAAATTATTCCATATTTTTACATACTGTGAACAGAATATATAGTTTACCCCACACACAGAAGCAAATAAGTGCAATCTTTCAAACATTAAAAATCATAATCAAATCTGTACAACAGATAAATAAATGTATGCTCTAACAGTTAGCTTATAAAAAAAAAACACGTACTGACCAAAGTCACCAGTTTACTTAAAACTCTACATTTCAATCATAACAACTTGACTCTTAACTACACTGCACATGTTTAGACTGATAAATACTTTTTAAAAATAGGAGGGGATAATACCAAAATAGCTATAAAGAGCTTTCCAAACATTGGAAATAATATACAAAAATTAATTAGGGGGGCATTTTACATGGATCCACAGGGTGACCAGCATCATACTGGTACACCTTATGGAAAACAACAGAAGAATGTTTGGATTGGAAAGAAAATTTGGCCTTTTTATAAAAAGAAACAATAACATAAACTATGACAAAACCCTGTCATGGAGCCTTAAAACAACTCTGCAAGAGAAAAAGTGAACAAAGATTTAGGCTTATATTCCTGAAAAACAACAGTTAGGACAAAAATCATGTCAGGAAACATAACGTCTGAATATGAATACATATAAATTAAAGGCATGTTGTTTATCATTCCACATCATTGCACATATGATAAGAAATACTGTATATCATTCTTGAGTAAAAAAGTTTTCAGTGAAGTAGGAAGTTCCACAATGAATATAGGTGCAGACAGTCTTATTACCACAAATTTAGCAAATATCAAAACACTCAGTGCTGTCACTAAGCTGACTAAATTATTATCTATACTCTTTACTGGAAAAGTAATCATTTCCCTGCCTTCATATGTTAACTTAAAATCATTTATAAATGATAATATAGATCCAGTAGAAAAGACTTTTCACATGCAATCCTATATGATGCACTCTGGTTCATCTTTTTTTTAAAAGTATTTCACAATGGATATGTACATTTCCAATATATACAACAAAACATGTTCGACAGACATCACTAAACTGTTCTCTTGCCACACATTTATATTTATACAAACATTTATATCTCCAGATAGATGCTTTTTTTTTTCCTCCAGGCAAACACAAAGTAAGCCTGAAAAGTTTAAGTTTTTTTGGTAGGATTGTAGTAACCTAATGTCTTGATTTATCTTGAATGGATGATAAGATGAGTAGTCCACAAAAAAATACAGCTATGCATGCCAACCTTTTCAAGAGAGATGAGTTATCTTTAGGGATAAAAATCTGTGCAAGATCATTAGTGATCTGAGAAATTTCATGTGCCACACAGACAAAGATGAAAGTGCTGACAATGATGTTGAGCATTGGGTTTCCAGGTATGAGCACCAAGATACCCCTTGTGTCTGCTGCCAGCCATATGTGATATTGGCAAATAAATAGCTAGGAGAAAACATATTTAAAGTTAGATATATTCAGAGGGTCTATGACTAAATCACATTTTTCCTAATTTAAATATGTGACAGCACAATAACATTTTCCAAAAATATCTGATTTTGTCTCACTATTGGCCCTGGAAAATACACTGCAGAATTTCCTCCTCAGAACTCCTACCTTTATATAATCGCTCCTAAAAATGAAACCAAAGAAAATTTAAAAAGTTGACTCATGAACTCAAAGAAAAATTCGGTTTCCCTGTTTTAAAAGACAACTTAATTTCATATTCTAAACTGTACCTGTTATGATTATAATATGAATTCTACTGTTTTAAAACATTCTGTTTCAAATACTAAAGCTCAGATTACACAGAATATACTTCAAAGTCTAACATTTAAATTGATTTTGTAGATAAATTTTACATTATATATCTCACACAAAAGGTAATGAGTTTAAATATCTTCCTACAATTTCTAGTTATAATAAAGGTGAATTTTATAATGGTAAACTTCAAAAATCTGAATTCTAGGAATCCAGTTTTTAATTATGGACGTGGATAACAAATCAGAATCCCCTAGCTTCATTTAATTTATATCTGGTCTAATATTTTTCTCTCCTGATTTCAGCATCTTGGTTGTGCTCAAAAGTTTCAGACAATGTAAAGAATGTTTTGAAAGTCTTCTATATCTAGTCACACATGTAGCTATGTTAAGATAAGGCACAACATCAATGTACTGACCTCTAATGAAATTCTTCCAAACCAAGCAAAAAATGAACTGTAAACTGAACGTGCATATCCAGGGATGTTTCTTATTAGGATGAAGGCTAAAATCTAAGGAAAAACCAGGAAGGTGAATGTCATTAATACATTTATTAAAAAGCATTTTGTGTGAAGCTTTAAGTGGTAACTTTATGTTCTTGAATTTGACACCTATAGAATTTTTAACACAAAGTATTGGCAAGTTTGTTGTTGTTGTTCAAAGTCTAACCAAATGAGGTATGTCAACAGATGTCTATACACTGCATACCAATGAAGACTTGAGGTAATACAGGCTGAATGTTTTATGTATAAAGGAGAAAATACAAGCCTCCTTGAGCCTCTGTGTATCATTTATGAGGCAAAATTTCATAAAATCCTATGGTACAATTTTGCTCCTATGCAAAGCATTTGTTTAGTCAGCAGTTACCCATCTCCCCACCTACTTCAAAATCATCTTCCACTGACAGTCACGCTAGTGTGGGAAATGGCATGGCTGTGAATGCCTGCATGTTTGCTCGGCATGGCTTGGCAGATGATGTCTCGCACTGCATTTTCTCTCTGGGAATTTTTACCCCCCAAGAAGAATTTCTAGCTTTCGCCCTTCTAGCCTTCGCCTTTCTTCCCTATCCTTTTGTATCCAGTGGATGAATCTTGCATTTTCTAAACTTCGAATTCCTAATCTCATATCCACTATCTAGTGTTACTAAGAAAAGAACTCTCTTTAGAACCCGCAATCCTCACAAAGAAGCAAGGAATTGTAAGGGAAAAAGTTGCCATGTTTACAACTCTCTTTCAAAAAATTTTGCTTATAAAAGGATTGGAAAATCTATCTATAATTCAGAGAAAAATCTATATTCAGTAATCACCCTGGACCCCTGTCAAAGGATTAGGAAGTCTCTGGGATACATAAAAGGTAAGGAAGTAAGATGTGTAGGAAAAGGGAACCAAAGTGAACTACTTGGATATATTCAACTCAGTGATTTAATGGGCAGCTATTTAACAATAAGAGTGAAATATGGTCAGGGGTAAGGGTATAGCCCACAGTATTTGTAGTGACTAGGATGCTCTAAACTTTTTTTTTTTTGTCGATACTGGGGATCAAACTCGGGACCTTGCGCTTGTGAGGCAGGTGCCAGAACCACTGAGCTAAATCCCCAGCCCAAGGATGCTCTAAACTCTTACAATGTGGGACAAACATCACTGAAAAGCAGCAGCAGTTGATAAAACAGTGCATTCTTCAATTTAAGCTCCCAGTTCATTCTTTTACTCTGTGATGGTGAAGTGACAGCTCTCACAAAAGAACTACCTATGGGTATAGGAGTGTGTATGGGCTAGAATGGGGAAGGTAAGAGATATGCCCCAGGAGCGCTTCTGCTAGTGGTATGCACGTGCAGCCACCCTCACCCTTTGCTCTGTTCATGTTCTTATGTATTTGTGAACTGTGAGTTCAAATGTTTCCCTCCATCTGGTGACTCACAGAAATGGTATCTGATATGATGTGCAAAAGGTTACTGGTAAGCACTACTGTTGTCTATAGAACTCATGAAAATCTATATGAGTACAATATAAAGCCTACAAATTTTACTGCAAATTGTGTTTGGAGAATCTGTCACTTGCTTGGGTGCTACTGAGCACTGCAGAGAAGTTTCAAAACAATGAACTAGTCTCTTCACTGAAAAGAATTCAAGGCTAGAAGAAGGCCTTCTAACTCTCACTGCTCCTCCTGGCTGGGCTACGTATCTCTCAGGCTTTTAACTTAGACACCATTACCTCCAATAACCCAACTCTGATAATAAAGAGAGGAAGAACTGCCATGTATTTCCTAAGCAATCTGTACTTAACCATTCTTACACTAAAAAAACAAAAAAAAATTCTTATACTAAACATAGCTCTGCCGAATGTAATATGATTGGAGTCATCCCACTTCCGCCCATCAGTCATCACACAGTTCCCTGGGTCTACAGACCACGAATGTACCATACCTGTCGACTCCACTACCTACATTCCTTTTCTTCTTTTGTTGTGGTTTTTTTTGGGGGGGACAGCATCTTGCTATGTAGTTCAGGCCAGTCTTGAACTCACTATGTAGCCCAGACTCCCCTGAAACTTGCAGGGATCCTTATGCCTCAGCCTCTGGAGTGCTGAGATTATAGGTGTGCACCACCATGCCCAGCTGGGGCCTATGTTCTTGATGCCCACTGTGTCTTTATGCTTCCATTCTTGGTTTAATTTTCTCAGGGAAATCCTTTCTGACCCCTGGCGACTTCCCTTTCAGCTTATATTCTTGTGAAGCACTGCACACTTCTACTCATTATTATATGGTTATTATATAATTACTATCTGTGAGAGAAGGTAGGGTAGGAACTACACCTGATCTGGCTCTCACTATGCCATCTTCCTTGATGCAAAATCTAACATAGAGTATCAAAAATTCTTTAAATGAATAAAAAAAAAAAATTTAAATGAATGAATATTTGTCTATATCTCTATTAGACTTACATACTTCTTGAGGACAAGAGCTGTATCTTAACACTGAGCTTCTTCTACCTGGCATAGTACATAACACATAATAGATAATAACTATAATTAAATAAAGAAATACGTTTAAATAAATATTAAAAATTAAATATGCAAAGTGAATTAGCATTTTCTTTTTTTCTGTACATAAAATTTGGTGTATTGAAATTAGTAAACTTAATGAGACAATCAAGGCATAGACAAATTAGAAGTGACTAATATAACAAATGTGAGCAAAAATAACACTAATTACAGTACAATTAATGGAACACAAATCCAGGTAACAGCCAGATTGAAAAGGTGATTATTAAAAATGGCAGTAACTGTAAAACTACTGGAGAGAGGAGTAACTATGTTTTGTATATTCCACAAACTCCACAGTGTAATCTAGTGTCTGACTGAGAAAATCTGGTAAAATTGTCTTAGTATATTTATTTTAGTGAATGAATATTATTAAGTTAAAAAGGCATCTTTTCCCCAGGGTATCTATTAACTCTGAACCCATGCAATTAATTTCTCTCTGACTTTAACAAAATAATGTAGCACTTAGGTACAAAGATGCAGTCCAACAGCCTAGCACTGGAAGCCAAGATGGAGAAGACCTCCATGGCCACTGTGACCTTCCCCTTGGTGCTGTGGTACACAGGGAGAAAGGTGACCCCCACACTGCAGAACACCAGCATGATGAAGGTCAGAACTTGGCTTCACTGAATGTATTGGGCAGATCCTGGCTAGGAAGGCAATTAACATTTTCTAAGTCACAAATACTGAGCTAGATCATTTCCAAACATTTAACACGATAATCTTTTGAGAGAGATTTTACTATCCCCTATGACTACAGAGGCTTAGAAAGATTAAGTAACTTGCCTACATTTTCTCGAGTTTGAATTTAAAGCTATCTCTAAAGACTTTGTTCTCTTAGAACCAGGCTTGGTGGCGCAGGCCTGTAATCCCAGCACTCTGGAGGCAGGAGGATTTCTGTGATTTCAAGTCCAGCCTGGGCTACATAGCAGGACTCTGCTTCAAAAAGATCCCCCATCCCAAAAAAGACTATATTCTTATCAAAAATTAAGAACAATTTCTCCAAAATTACCTGTACCACAGAAACAGAAGGGTGCAATTCATTGCACTCTGCTTTGTTCTTACAACTGCTAGCCCAGATGGAATAGGTCTAAAACAAAAAGAGGATAGGTCAGCTCACAAAACCAGTTAAGCCTAAATGGGCATAACATTCACAAGTTTTCTTTATGTACAACATTATACCAGTAGTTGATGATGCCATATAAAAAGCATCAGTATATAGTACAAGTTTGTCCTCACGTGTTTTGGATGCTTAACTGCCCAAACATAAGGGAACAGAGAGAGAGAGGGGAAGAGGATTTGTTCTTTTCTGAAAATAGTAATCATGAGGAGGTGATGGCTCTATCAAACACCTTCCCATGGATTTTTTTTCCCAAATTGCTAACTTTTAAAATTCTTATTTCACTTGATTTTTCAGTTTTTCTTCATATTTACCCTCCCTATGCATTTTCTTTAGAATTTATGTCAAATTATGGGCTGAGGATATGGTCCCATGGTGGAGCACTGCCTAGTACAAGTAGACTCTGGGTTTGAGTGCCAGTACCACAAAACAAACAAGTAAACAAACAAAATGTAAAAAGAAAAAAAAAAAAGAGAAGAACTTATGTCTAATTAGAAAAAGGTAAAAAAAATAAGAAGCAAAGACTTATTTATTAAAAGTGATTGCTTACATTCCTATATCTTAAAGTTAACTTCCATATCACTTAAGATTTTTGAAAATTAGGTTATATTTCAAAACTTACCAAGAAAGAAACTACTGAAATAAACAACAGAAAGTTTGAAATTTTGTTTGAAAAAAGAGGTTCACCCTTTCCTTCAGAAAGTACTTGGCGTTTCTGTAAAGTCAGATAAATGAAAGCAAACAGCATGCCATGGAAGACTACCTGAAAAAAAGAGAGGAAATTTATTTTAAACAGTTACTTTCCAAATACTAGCAAAAATATGTTCTTAATGAGGACTGAATTAATAAAAGTAAGTAGGTTAAAAGCTTAAAGGTTCAGAGTTCTTACAAAGAACTTAAACTTCTAGAGCACAATTTCAAACAATGAAATAAAGCTTAATGACCATTAGAAACCATCAGTAGCAAACAAGAAAACATCTCCCCCAAAATATGAGATAAAGCTGGTTCATTTTGAGCAGTCTCAGCAGCAAGTAAAGTAAAAAAAAACTATTTTATTTTGTTTTATTTTAATTTTATTTTATGTTTTGATGTTGGGAATTGAAGTGAGGGCCTTGTGTATGCTAACTACACATTTTTCCACTGAGCTACTCTCCCATCCCCAACAACTTAAAAATAAGAAACTCTCCTAAAGACATGATAACATTTAAATATACCCCAAAATGATAGATTTTATACTGATCCTTTCAGTAAAAAACAATACCACTAACCAAATCATATTTTTAAAAAGGAACATACATATACAAGAGTGAAAAAAAAATAGAACAGGAAGCACATGAACTTTCCTTAACAAGGACATAAATACAGATAAATACAGATGTCATGTAAATTACCACTGCCATAGATTGAATGTTTGTATTCCTCCAAAACTCATTTATTGAAATCTAATTCTCAATGTGATAGTTTTGAAGATGGAGGCTTTGAGAAGTGATATGGTCATGAGGATAGACACAGATTTTATGAATGGGATTACTGGCCTTTTCTATAAGAGAGACCCCAAAGAGTTCCCTGGGCCCCTCTACCATGTGAGGACATAGCAAGAACACAGTATCTATGAACCAGAAAATAGGCCCTCACAGACTCCATCTCTTCCAGCACCTTCAGCTTGGACTTCCAAGCCTCTGGAATTGTGAGAAATACATTTTTATTGTTTTTTGTTGTTTATGAGCTACCTTGTCTATGGTATTCTGCTATACAGTACCCCAAATAGACTAAGACGAGCATATCATAGTAGATTGCTCTAATGAGACTAGCAAAGATTTCTTTTATTCATTGCTTACACTGGAAGGTGAATAGGTACTGGAAACTAGGCACGTGACAGAACAGGCACTAAGAAAGCCGTTGTTGAAAGAGAGATGAATCAGAGGAAAAGAAGATGGGAAACAGTGAAGTAGCTGTTATTTATTTAGTGTGTATTATTTTCCAAATGCTGTACTAAATAGAACTTTTACATTTTCTCAGACAATTGATTCTTAACCATCTTTCAAGATTAAGTTCATAACATACTGTTTCTTCTTTGTATTCTTCTACCACTGAATCCACACTGCATAGTTTAGTGCCCCATTCTAAATACTAATCTGAGTTTTAAGCTACTAGATTGTTAGGGTTAGAAGCCTAGTGGTATATCTTCTTTCTCTAATATATACTTCATGACTCTAACATCTAGGACACATATTGGGGCTCATTAAAGGCTGTTCTGAATGGATAAAACATATCACTTATAAATTAAAACTGTACAACATTTTTATAATGTTTTCCTGCTGATATACAAATACATGCGTGGGGAGGGAGTAGACTGTTTTAACTTACTAAATCAACATGTTTCTTTATTGTAAAACAAAATAAAAGTAGACTTAGAAATCTCCAAGTCATTTTCTAGTAGCATAATTTAAAATGGCAAAATATCACAAAGTAAATACATACATAACGGTCTAACCTCCATCTGAACCACCATTCATATACATTCCCTTTCAGTTCAAAACACTTGGACAATGGCCAAAGAGAAAAGATCTTCTCAAATGCACCCTGAGAAAAGGAATCCAGAAAAATTAAAATAATATGAGTCAATACGTGCTTTGCAATTCTATTACAAATTGAAGTTTTCTAAAGTTAAGGTTATGTAAGTCATTCACAATTTGTAAATGCTATTAATTTCATTTAAAATGTGTCTACATTTAAATTTCTTTTTAAAATAAATTTATTTTACCAATAGGCAATAATTTTTTAAACTGTGCACTTCACATAAAAGCTACTGAGACTGCAAAATTTTTTAAAACCTAGTAAATGGAAAATTATTCCACATAAAATTTAAAATCTAGTATACAGAACAGCTGATAATTACTAATCAACAAATACAAATACTTCAGCTAATATCCTAGAGAGTAATTGTTAAGGTTAAAATACAGTTTTTCTTTTTCTAAATGTCTGTAACAATCTCTAATTAACTATTGCAGTTAAATGAGCCCCCTTGAATTAATCACCTTAATCAACCATACGCAAGTGCCATTACTAGCCTTAGAAACAAAGTTTATAATTTTACTCTGGTGAAGTTAGTGAATGGTACCCTTTTATTAATCTGACAGCCTGGAAAATCTGGGAATGAAAGGGCAGAAGTCTTGAGTTCATTCCTGCACATTAATGAAGTCTTTCAAAGAAGAAAACAAAAACTTCAATTTCCAGATGAAAGAATGACGACAAACTCTATTATTAAAGAAACAACGTATAAAAAAGTAACATCGTGGTTTTTAAAATAGTTATTAAAAACCAAACAAAAATAGTAAAAAGTCTCCTCTTGACCACAGAATTTAAAATGCACATAGCAAATTAAAATAGACATCAAAATCTATGCCCTAGAAAATGAAGAATGATTCTTACCAAGAGTTGCAATCTAAACTACTTTGGAATATGTGCACATATATATCTCAGTATGAATATAGACATAATATGTGTAATAAATATGATCCTGTAGATGTTACATGCAGTATATCTATGACATATATATGTCATTTTACAATTCAAAATTTTATTTCTAATTAAAGATGTATTTTTATGTGATATATAAGCTTGTTTTTACTGAGCATTCATTTTTGAAGTGAGATTTTTTTTTTTTTTTTTTTGATACTGGGGATCAAACTTGGGACCTTGCGCTTGCGAGGCAGGTGGCAGAACCACTGAGCTAAATTCCTGGCCCATGAATATTCATTTTTGAAAGGAGAGTGGGTTGGCCTGGACTCTGCACTCTTCTTGTCCAGTGGGCAACACTGACCCAAAGCTGGGGAAATCTTATTCCTTTTATTAACTTTCTGCTCAGCTTTCTCTTCTTTTCCTCAGAAGTGCTTACAGAGTGTTGGGAAATTTTAGTGAACAGCTATAAAGTATTTGTTGCTGTTACCTCTTTATACGTGTACCTGGTATTTTCTTATTATTTTACTTATGCCCAACTAAAAAAATCCTGAATGTCATGCAGAAATGTTTTCAATACTTCTAAGTTTGCATATAAGTAAGCCAGACTATAAAAAAGCCTTCCCAAAACAGCTTTACAGAATTACACATACACATAAAAATACCTATAGGGCATTTACACCTGAGATAGCCATGTAACAAAACAGTGTTGCAAATGCGAGAAACTGTACAGCATGTTAACACTATCGGCCAGGGATGGCGAACCTTTTAGAGCTCTCAATGATAACAAATAGCCCGCTGCAGCACACGTGCCATAGGTTCACCACCACTGCTATGGGCATTCAAATGAAAATATTTTGTCATAAATATGCTGCTTAAAAATATGTCTGCCTAATAGATTTACCAGCAGGTATCAGATTGTAACCTTGCTAAAATAACAGAAATTCTCAACCATCAGACTAGGGGAATAAAAGGTGAGGGGTAGGAAAATGACACAAAATTTTATTAAATTAAACATATGACACACATACAAACCTCTCTGCAGCTAAGTTGGTTTTACTATCTGCCAAAATTTTTCTTTCTAAAGTCATAAAAACATCAAATAACAGTTTGATGCAATGAATAATGCACAAAGTTGCAAATTCTGTCAAGAGAATTCTGATCTCCATTTAAGAGTAGTGTCTTATAAGAGGCATTCAATAAATGTTTGATTGATCAAAGTCAAACAAAATGGATCTTAAACAATTGCCAGAGGAAGAGCTTTAAATTGCTTTTACAACAAAAACAGTGGTAACAAAAGTAGATAGGTCTCAAAAGAACTACACTGGATAGTCAGCTACCAAGTGACACTTTCATTATATTCATTTTTAAAATGAAGCTAAAAAAACCCCTGACTCTTCTCACATACTTTAATAGATTTGAACTTTAAAATATTACAAAATATAAATGGAAAAGACCGTACAAACCTGAGAATATGCCAAAAAACATATGCATAACAGCAAAAAGGCTAGTTTCAATAGTAAGCCCAAATGCCAGAAACAATTTCCTAAGAGAGAAAATACTTAGTTTACTATCAATATAAATTTATTTAAGAAAACACAGTAAATACTCTCTAACATTTTTTACACACTGAACAGTTCTTAAATAATTTAAGGTTTCTTACAGGGATACACAAAATATACAGGTAGTATAAATTACAGATGGGCCAAAAGGAATAAAAAGCAGAGGATTCTTGCTAGGAATGAGGCTACAACATATAATTGATACCCTACATACTTGCTGCACAGGTACTATAAATATGTTTAAAAATATCTCTTAGGTTTATTTATACCTATTCATTACGGAACGTTATAACAAAATATAGAATAACCTGTTCAGTGCAATGCTAAAACTCATGTGTAACCTAGGCAATTTGTTAATTTGTTTTAAAGTTTCAAGAAGACAGTTTAAATTTTCTAATAGATGAGATTTAACTATAGGACATCTTAACATATGCATATTTTAAATTATGTGCTCAAAATTTGTGCATTTTGATTATTTGATTAATATGCTAGGATTGTGTACCGAGATTCTACTACAGAGGCTTCCACAGACATAGAACCCTGATAGAGGATAGATCTCAACTCTTTCCTGAAAAGTTATTTGATATAATAGTGGAAGCCAAAGGGAAAATATTTTTGATATACAATACTTAGTTGAAAGCTAGGTACATTCTTAAAACTAAAAAATGTTTTTACAAAAAAAGGGAAGATTTCATTTAAATGATATGACCTTGAGGAAAAAAAGCATTAATAAATAAAGGACTGTAGCATTAATATAAGACTGCAACCTTTCTCTGAACATGGTAGTGGGGTATGGAAACTTTGAAAATAACAACCCTTTGGCCACTTGGGTTCCTTATACAAAACAGGTTAATAATAAAAAACTGCTTAAAGAGTTGTCTAGAGACAAATTAATGTTTTAAAACTTGGACATAAAAGGCTGTTCTGCAAATGAATGTTCAGTAAAAAGCCACATATATATATAAGAAATCAAATATAACAGAACTGCCAATATTGAAGCAGGACACAGGGGTCTGAAACTTCATTTGGCTTTCTTTTCTCTCTTCCAACTACATCCACCTCTGGCTCTGTACAAGACAGAAAAATTGTTGAAGATTGAAAATTGTTTCAATTAGTAAAAATGTGAAATTGTTTTGAAAAATTTAAATTTTAAAAAAGAAAAACACATAAAATAAATATAAACTAGTATTCTGCAATGTTATAATGTATTATTTCCTGCCATGAAAGACTTAGCTATAACATTTTGAAATATACCTAAGAACAAAATTCAAAACGTCAAAACTACACAAATTGAAAACTACATAAATTGAAACTGCCTACATCTCTTAATAAAAACCTTTAGCAGCAAAAAAAATTAATACATTGAAAGAATATGTTTATTAACATTAGTAAGATAGTATATTTACCGTTTGCTTTTTTTTGGATTATCTGTGGCCACAATGCTAAAGTAACATATATGACCATAAACCATACAGTGACCAAGGGGACAAAGTAATAGAACTGATAAGGCCGATCCATTACTATACATAACACCACTACTAGGAAATTGAGACGAAATAAGACCTATTAAAAAGGAGAAGAAAATGGTTTTCATTTCAGGTTTTACGAAAAGCAAACAGATTTTCTCTGAGAGTATTAACATTTAAGACTCAAAAAATGACTACAAGTATATTTTACTAATCTCTAAAGTTATATTTGTCCTAGAATCACTGTAAAGAGCTAAATATAAAATATTTATGCATCACAATATTAACTAAATCCCAGCAAAGTACCATTCTGAGCTGTCCTCTAGCTATAACTACCATACTGTTAAATGTAAGAGAAAAAATTGTAAACCTCCATCCTAAGGCCACAGTTTATAAGCAGACATTAGGTTACCCCCAAGAAAGAGTATCTGATGTTCATTTACACCACTGACATTAAACCGAGAGTTGCCATAGATACCAAAATAATATTGTTCAAAAACATCTGTGGGACCTTTGTAACAGTTACTTCAGATATCAGTTTGAAGCCATTCTAAGAACACAAAATATGAGCAGATTTACATTAGGGCTGTGCTGTGACCTTGGGGAAATTACTTAACTTCTCTGACCTCAGTTTCCTCATACGTAAAGGAAGATAACTCAGAGATAAATAAAGTGTTTAGAACTGCTTAACACAACATAGAAAGTTAACAAATATTAATCCTCAGGGAGAATAAAGTAAAATATTATAACAATCCCAAGTAACTGTACATTTCTACAACACTAAAGTGAATCACTAAAGTGTTCCTTGTGCATCAGTACTTTAACAATATATGCACCTAAATTATATTTCCCTCCCATCACTAATAAATTACGTATCTCAGTTTACTAAACACAGAAATACAATTTTGAAGTGCTAGTTCATCAATTCAAATTATTCATGGTTTCATAATGGCCAAATTTAGGTTTGGCAGAGGCATGTTGGATTGCAAGAAAAATGAAATAATGGTATATATTCCTACCTGACATACTCTATGAATTCCAAAGTCTCCCTTGATCCAAAAGTATGAGAAATGTCCATACCCTGTCTGAAACAGATATGCAGCAACCAGAACTCTAACGTGCATGTACACAGGCAAAAACTGTTGACAAAAATAAATAGGTTAAATACATAATAGCATAAACTATATCTTTAATACCATAACAAATACATCAATTGTCATTTTCATTTGGTATTAGCTCAGTGAAAAGATTTATTCTCAAAAGTTGGGCATCCTGTAATCCTTGTAATCTTAGAACACTGTCATTCCACCTGTCCACCAATGACTGATTGTTTAGGTGGATATTTACCATCTCCATTAACATATCCGGTATACTGCTTTTTAATGTGATCCTTAAAAGGCTCGTCAGTGCATTAATCCAGCATTAACACTGTTCATGGATGTAGTCACTTTAGGTTAATGTATCTTTCCCATTTAAGTTTTTGCAGGATACAAGAATCAAGCAAACACCTTAAATAGCCCCTCCCCCGCCCCCAAACTTGAACTCACACCCAGATGCTGCAGCCTTGAGCTACATACCCACTCTGTCCCGCTGGCTGGCCATTTGTTCATTCATTCATTCATTCATTCATAATTCTGAGACAACGTCTAAGTAGCTAACTTGCCGAGGCTGGGCTTGGATTTGTGATCCTCCGGTCTCAGACTCTCAAATAGCTGGTTAAATAAGATTTTATAAGCCTTTGACTGTATGCATCTTTAGCACGCATGTTGGAACATCTTTCTTTTTTGAGGGACAATATTTATGCTGGGAGAAAACAAAACCCTGAACTTGTAATAGGTCATAAATTTTGCCAAACAGCCTCTATCTAATCAAACCTACAGATTCTCTATCTCTTACAGTGGTCCTTCATGTGCTTCCTTGCCAATTATCTTTTGTTTACCAGTTCATGCAGCCCCAAAAGGTTCTTTCTCTGTGTTTATTCAAATCCTATTGTCCTTCATAGCCCAGTTCAAAACCCCAATTTTACTATCAGATGAAAGTAATTTCTCCTTTCTCTCTTCTTATAGCATCAAAAATCTATATTTCAAATGTATAGTTTTTTATTACCTTTCATTATACTTTTTTTATAAATGTCTTTTCTCACTATTTTCAGTGAATATGTAACATTAGAATCACAGAGATGAAGGTGGGAAATGTAGTACTGAAATCTCAGAACTTAAAGGAACTCTGTCTTCATGCATGAATGAAATCTAAAATATCCCTTTCCTGAATTTGTCAAATCACTTTTTTTTTTTTTTTGGCACCAGGGATTGAACCCGGGTCCTTGTGTTTGCACAGCAGGCGGCAAAACCACTGAGCTAAATCCCCGGCCCTGTCAAATCACTTTTTAACAGCAGAAGATACAGATTCCCAACAAAATGCACTCCATTATCAGATAGTCATTAACTGCTAAAGTTCTTTTTCATGAAAAGTTGAAATCTAACCATATGTAAAAGCTACCAACCTCAACTCTCCGGAACAGTACTAATAGAAATAAAATGTGAGGGCCGGGGATTTAGCTCAGTGGTTTCGCCGCCTGCTGCACAAGCGCAAGGACCTGAGTTTGATCCCCGGTACCAAAAAAAAAAAAGAAATAAAATGTGAGTCATAAAGGTAACATCATATGTGGCTATCAGAGCATTTAAAAATTAAAAGAAACAGAGGAAACAAATTTTATTACATATATTTTATTTATCTCAATATATCTAGACTATCATTTCAACAGTTAAATAGATGTTTTACATTCTTTTTAATATGAAGGTTTTTTAAACTTAGAATGAATTTATTAGAATTAATCATACTAAACCTGGGGTATTTCACTTATACAGCATCTCTCGGTTCTAACTAGCTATACTTCAAATGCTCAAAAGCCAAATGTAGCAACTGGCTACTACAGTGGAGAGTCTAGCTCCACATTCACATGCTGGAATTAAATCATTCTCAAATCTCTCTAGTAGTTCTACAAGTATCTGAAAACAGGTGTCCCGCCTATGTTAACCATTCCCAATTACTTTAATCACTCTCCATAAAACATGCTTACAAGTCCCTTTGAGATTAGGGCTTGGATTACAAAGCTGGGTTGATTATTAAATTGAAACAGTAAATACAATTCACTTAAACTGAATTAAATAGTATCACAATTTTCAAATTCCCGCCAATGCTGTTCTATTAAATGTTACGTACTATCATCTCTAACTTTTAGTATTGAGGTATTTTAAATCAACAGAAAAGTTGTACAATAAATAACTATATACCATGCTGAAAATGTATAGTGTATTGTAGAACATAAGACAACACTCTACATATGTCACTCGGAATCTCCTAGGAAGACAAGATAGTTTCTGACATGACTAAATTATCATTATTATGCCCAAGCAGTTTAACACGAATATGGTAGTATTTACTCTATAATCCATAAATTTCTATTATCCTCGTAATATCCTTTATTTTTTTGATCTAGGAATGTTTAATCAAAGATCACATATTGCACTTAGTTGTCATCTCTTCTGTCTCTTTTAACCCAAACTAGTTTTCTTTTTCCTTTCATTAGATTTATAATAAAGTTTTCATATTAAAATATATTTTGAATTCTAACTTCATTTATTTGGTAAATAGGCTGACTTCTAGTTCTATTCATTTTCTAGTCCCCCAAATTTTCCTTCACAGCCTTTCATTCAGGTCTCTTCATAAAATTTTCAAAATAAAAAGCAAAACTAAACTAAAAACAACTAATAACTACAATGGAACACAAAATCATCTTCTGTATATACTAAACTTGTTGCTCTATCCTAAATTCACAGCACTTTAACTGTATTTTATATACATTCTAAAAGAATCTTTATATTTATAATTGAAATCTGCCAGGCCATCTTGGTTATTTTAATAATTCTCTGGAATTTCTGATATAGTTGCTCTTTTAGCATAAAAACATGGTACAACTAAAAGCTTGAAATATATTATTCAAATCATTAAGATTAGGTAATGGTTGGTAAAATCTCTCAACTATCGAAAAATCATGTTCCAAATATGTTATAACCTATACTAATCATATTTTGCCAATATAGAGACAGGTAATTTTTATCCACAAAATCCTGTATAACACAACAGGGATATGTTAATCATTACAAATGATCTGTTAATGAAAAGTATGTTCTTGTAGAACAAGGATTTTCAAAAAATTGTACATTAGAATGTATTGAAATGTAGACTAAGAAGATATATTAGGCTAGGTGTGGTGGCACACTAATTCCAGCACTTTGGAGCCAGAGGCAGAGGATCACTGCCAATTCAAGGCCAGTCTGGGCTACATAGTGAGTTTAAGGCCAGTTTGAACTACATAGGAAGATCTTGTCTTTAAAAAAAAAAAAAAAAGAAGAAGCTATATTATAATGTTAGGTTAAAAAAATTAGAATGCTAGGTTGGTAAATGACTAAAATAGAACACTAAATTGGCTTCACTGTTTTATGATCTGAATCCTTTCTGGAATCATTGCATTGAATAACCTAATATATCATTGTTTTTCTACCTAATTTTTAAAATAGTAGTATCACCCTTTAATATGTCAGTAATTACTTAGGGCTCTAAATGGCATTTTCTTAAAGTAAAAGTTTTTTCCCCGAAAATTGAATCAGTCTTTATTCATGTTCAGCAATATTTCTAGGATTCAATATTCATCTTTATTTACTTCCAAAGAATCTCTAAAACTATTCTACAAATTCTGAGGCTTCTAAATTACGTGTTACTACCTCCATCGCCCTTTTCGAACCTTACTGTCTTAGCTCAACCATAACTACTCAAAGTAGCACCCCTTCAGCTGAGATTTCACTGCTGCCACAAATACACATATCACTGCCATTAGTTCCAGAAAAAATTACACATTACACCTTTGTCTTCTGCCTTTGAAACAAACTATCTGTAAAATCCCTAACAACTTTTGAAAATAAGAGATAATGAAGAATAGTATTGTTTACAAAATTGCAGAGATAACAGGAAAAACCCAGTAATACATGATTTATCTTCTTAATTGATACTATGGAATTTTCAAAATACTCTTTTCTGGGCACTCCTCTCTTATCTGAGTTTATCACTGATTCCAAAACAGTTTATAGATGTGTGTTTTATATAAGCAAATAAAGCAATAGAACAGTTTGGTTGCTTCCAAATTATGAATCTCCTAACTTTTAAAAACCTATTTTACAGAAGTTTTACCTATAGGGCCAGGGATTTAGCTCAATGGCACTGTGCCTCCCTTGCAAGTGCAAGGTCCTAAGTTCGATCCCCAGACCAAAAAAAAAAAAAGTTTTACCTCTAATATAGCTAAAAATTACATCTCAGAATGAATGCATTTTTTTCTAATTCTGCCATACCCATGATAGCCACAGATCATGAAAGTCCTGCCTTTTAAGACACGTAAGGAGAAGAAAAACAGACTAGGTACAGAAGGTACTGGGTGACCAAAAACAGATTCCTCTGCAGCACAGAGGAAGAAATAGCAAGTGCTGCACACACCTCATGATCCACGACAGTCAGTCTGTACCTAGATTTTTCTCAACACAGGGGCAAGATAGTTCTAAGTTTTTGTTTTATTTTGTTTTTTGGTACCGGGGATTGAACTCAGGACCTTGTGCTTGCGAGGCAGGCGCAGTGCCACTGAGCTAAATCCCCAGCCCAGTTCTGTTTTTTAAACTTTAAAAATATAAAAATAATTGATTAAACTTCCTAAAGTATAGTGAAGGGTAAAATATAAAATATAATAATCTAATTTGATTTCTTTTAATAACCTGTCTATTCTAAATCATTCTAAATCTACAAAGTTTCTGGTAACTGTAAATTAGCTGTTCAACAAGATGACATTAAATAACACCTTTAGATATCAGCTAGTTCTACTATATTATCATTAAGTAAATACAAATCAATTATTGACATCTTTTTAAAAGTAATTTCAATTTGTTTTAAAATGACAGAGTCTCAAAGGGTTGAGAAGTCAGAAAGATTGGGTGGGAAATAAGAAGAGTCTCTAATTAGTAGAGAATATAAAATTTTAAAAAAGCCAGTGCCCATAAAAAAAATTAAAGTGGCATTATTTCCTATTTTTTCTGAATTTAAATTTATAATACTCACTGTACTTGCTCCAGAGATGTGATAAATTAAAATCACAAGTTGCATCCAACCTTTCCATTCATCTGTTTGTTCTCTATTTAACACTTTAGTCTGCATAAAGGAACCAGAATCTGTTTTAAAGTTCATCAACTATTTGAACAGCACATATTAAGTATGTTAAAATTTTTCTTAGAATATATAAATATATAAAGCTAATGCTTCTGTCAAAGAAATCCTGGTGGTAAGGGGAGACAGTTAAAAGTTGTCACTTTAAAAGATACAATAAAACAATTTTAAATATAGCACACATTTGAAAAACAACTATAAACTAAATGGATTTTTAATATTTAAGTTGATATTTATGGTTTTATATTAAATATCATTTAAACTATGACAGATTTGAGTACATTTCTAAAAATGACATTCTATAATTTTCCTTGACAAAATTTTACACTTTCAGAGTTTAAAACGATCTTATATTTCTCTTACACTTTATCGACAGAAAAGACTCGTGTTAAAGTTCATTTTCCCTAGCATACTCTCACTGGAGATGAAGAACTGATTAATCATCCTCTTATGAGAGTTATTTTTACAATAGAATTAATCTGAATAACTCATACCATGAAAACAATTTATACAAATATACTGAGCAATGACAGCAATTCTATTTTAGGAAATTCAGAATACTAAAAGTGGTAGTCACATCACTGTGTAAGTTCTAATTTGTATGTTTATGTCTGCTAAATATTTAAATATAAAATATGTTTGTGAATACACATATAATGAGTTTTATTTTATAAAAGATAATAAATAGTATATAATACTTGAAGATCACTATAAAATCAAGAGTGCTTTCACTTTCTCCATCCTTAAAAGTTATGAGATCTTTTCCACAGGTAAAACTTTCCAACTTTTCAACAACTTTTTCACTCAACCCTTTATATTTCCTCCAGTTTCAATAAAAAGTAACTGTTGGGGCTGGGGATTTAGCTCAGTGGTTTTGCTGTCTGCTGAGCAAGTGCAAGGACCCGAGTTCGATCCCCAGTACCAAAAACGTTAACTGTTAAGAAGCTACTAAGTGGGCCAGGGATTTAGCTCAGTGGTGCCACCACCTGCCTCGCAAGCGCAAGGTCCCGAGTTTGATCCCTGGTACCAAAAAAAAACCAAACAAACAAAAAAAAGCTACTAAGTGAAGTGTAATTATAAGTTTCCTCCATCTTTGTCTATTTAGTCTATTTATATGGTTGTATATTCTGGCACAAATGATACTTTTTTAACTTAGACTCTGTAATGAGACAAAAAGGATAACATGAATTAAAAAGGAAATGATTCTTACCTCTTTAGTATTTTCATTGTAAAATACTCCCAAAACCAAGATGTAGATAATTGGAATAAAGAAAGATGAATGTGTATAAAATTTGTTTTCCTTCATAAACAGATTTGCACGGTCACACATATAGAAATACGCCATAATCAGGCCAAGTTTGCAGAAAGACTGTAAAAGTATTTCTAATGGAGACAAGGAGATATTGATAATATTTTTCTTTTCCTCTCCACTTTCCAAATCACTACATGGCTTATTCTTCCGATGAGGATTACGATGAATTATATAAAAAATTATATATCCAATAATAGAGAAAGTGAAAAAACAAGCAGCTAGCTTCTGTATGAGAGTAAGAGGAGGCCGAGGTTGACAACAGGAACCATCTATGGGCTTCAAAATCTTATTGCAATACACGTTCATAAGAATCATTGCACTCTGCGAACAAATCAAGTTATTTGGTTATTATCTTTCACTGATGTATTTCACATTCGATTTTCTCCTGTGAATTTGCTGAGTTTTTGACACTGAAACCAAAATGCTTTTGTACTTCTTGCAAAGATTTCCCAAACGCTCATCAAAATATGGTATTCTTTCAATCTATAATAGCTAGTTCAGGGTGTTTTAAAGTTCTAGGGCTATCATCTATAATAAACTCATTTTTATAAGGTGACCCAATAAACAATACTACTACTACTTGGAATGCACTCTGATATGGTTCTGTTCTTTAAGGAAAACAAAACAAAGCAAAACAAAACAAAAAATGAAAGGAAACGAATCAAAATAGGATTTTATGGCAGCTAATGGATTATGTCCATTGGTTAAAAAAGAAAAAATTGACATATCAAGGACATCTCTCTCAAAAGAGAACATACCAGGATACTTTAGATATAGTCTCAATCTTCAGATGTGATCAAAGAATGTATAATAACTTCTATTACAAAATTATTAACTCTTAGCTAACAATATTTTTGCTATGCATTTCATTTAGGTTATAGCTTATACAGACCATGTAGGATTGTACAGTTTTAAGATTTCTAAAGCTAAATAAAATTTGGAATCTTCAACATGATTTGACTTTAATAAAATTGTTCTAAGCAAGCTGTCAAGATTCTGTCTAGTTGAAGTTTCAAACTCTAGTTCTGATGGCCACTAGGTACTCAAGTATTCCAATGTTTAGAAAAATCTCATCCTTTTAGCTCTGAGATGTCAGGAAATTCTGTGTCTGGAACTCTTGCAGATCTTTGCCTACAAATTCCACCACAAGGTTCTTAACCAAATTCCAAGAAATCCATAAAGCCCCTAACATGAATTCATGGAGGACCATGTGTACACGTGAATATGTGATTTTTCTGCAGGAAGGTAACAGAATCACTTTTTTTTTTTTTTAAATCACATACCCAAACACAACCTTTTTTTTTTTTAATCACATACCCAAAGGGCTTATCTGACCATCAAAAAAGTTAAGAGCCCTTGCCAAAGATTAAAACTAGCCCTGTATCTCTCACCATGCACTAAACTAAAATCAAAATGGATTAAAGATCTAAATATTAAAATAGAAACTCTGAACCAGTTGGAACAGAGGTTAGGTAGAACCCTTGAAGACATTGGTGTAGGAAAAGATTTTATGAACAAAACCTCAGTTGCCCATGAACTAGCACAAACCATCAACAAGTGGGATCTCTTCTTATTAAAAAGCTTCTGCACAGCAAGAGAAACCACCAGCAGTGTGAAGAGACAACCCACAACGTGGGAAAAAATCTTCAACTGCTCTTCCTCAGACAAAGGTCTACTATCTCGAATCTATAAAGAACTTAAAAAGATCAGACCTCCCAAATTTAAAGACCCAATCTGAAAATGGGCATCTGAAATGAACAGACATTTCTCAGACAAAGAAGTAGAAATAGCAAAGAAATACATGAAAAAATGTTCAACATCACTGGTCATTCGAGAGATGCAAATGAAAACAATGCTGAGATTCCACTTCACTCCAGAAAGAATGGCTGCTATCATGAAATCAACCAATAACAAATGCTGGTGGGGCTCTGGGGAAAGAGGAACCCTGCTCCACTGCTGGTGGGAGTGTAGACTGGTACAACCACTGTGGAAATCAGTATGGAGATACCTCAAAGAACCAAGACTGGAAGTCCCATTTGACCCCGCTATTCCACTGCTGGGGATCTTCCCCAAAGAATTAAAAGAATCATACCACAGTGATAGATGTGCGCCCATGTTCATAGCAGCACAGTTTGTGATAGCTAAAACTTGGAAACAGCCCAAGTGCCCATCAACTGGAGACTGGATCAAGAAAATGTGTTTTTTTTATAAACTGGAGTACTACTCAGCCATAAAAAATGAGAAATTAGAGACATTCATAGCTAAGTGGATGCACATTGAGGCGATACTCTTAAGTGAAATAAATAGGACACACATGTATAGATACTGAATAGTTTCTCCGGTGTGAAAAACTGAAAGTGTAAATGGGGACTAAAATGTATGACAGGCAATGTGAAATAGGAAGAAAAGGGGCAAAGGGGAAGGAAGTGGGAGGGCTAGGGGAAAGGATAGAAGGGAATGGGATTAATATGAGAAAATGGAAAAATAGGAACAAAATCTTTGTAAATAGGGAGGACTGGAGGGGTTGAAGGGAGGGCTGGGCAAGGGTGAAAAATAAGAACCAAGAGAGACTATGTAAAGGTGCAAATTTCCAATGATGAATGTCATTATATTGTATACCTAAAATGTACCAATGATTAGAATGAATAATCGATAATGTAAAATAGGAAGAAAAGGTCCAAAGGGGTAGGAGTAGTGGGAGGGGCAGGGGAAAGAAAGAAGGGAAAGGATAAATGCTGAGAAATGGAAAAAATGGAAATAAAGTCTTTGTAAATAGGGAAGGGTGGAGGGGGTGAAGGGAGGGCTAGGAATGGGGAAAAAATAAGAACCAAGATGCACTATGTAAAGGTACAATTCCCAGTGAGAAATGTAATTGTGTTGTATACCTACAATGTACCAATAAAAGAATTTAATAAAAAAAAAAGAAGAAAAAAAAAAGTTAAGAGCCATTACTTACAAGAAAAAAACAACAAAACACCAAACCAACCATAATCTGTTCTACTGTATGGGAAAATTTATAATTATGCAAGTCTCTTTTACACATAATTCTTTTCCATCAGCCAACATGAATTTGTTCAGTATCTACTCCATGCCTTAAATAATGCAGAGCTATAAGGAAATAAAAAATCACTTCATATACTAAAAAATCTGCGGTTCACTAAAGTTTAATCTTTTTGGGGGGACAGTCAGTACTGGGGATTAAACCTAGAAGCATCTGCATTGACCTACACCCCCAGCCCTTTTGTCATTTTGAGCCAAAGTCTCACTAAGTTGCTAAATTGCCTAGGCAGGGCTCAAATTTGCAATCCTCTTGCCTCAGCTTCCCAGAGTGCTGGGATTACAGGCATGTTTCACCACATTCAATCAAAATTTAATATTGTAAATTTAAAGCAAAGAGAATATAAAGCAGTTTTCAAACATGAGTTTGCAAAAGACTTATGTTTCTTATGAAAGAAGATAGATTAATAGTGGCTAGTCCTCACTAAATGAAGTTTCATTTCCCATCTTCTCTTTTTTCTCTTAAAGTATACCAAACTCTCACTTTTATGCTCAGCTAGATAACAGAAAATAAAATTATTTCCAGATGATGTATCCTTAGACAGAATAACTATGAGTGACTATAATCATGTTGTATGACTTAAGAATTCTTACAGTTTCTCTGCTTGATTCAGGAAGATGTAAGCCATCCAAAGATTCCATGATGGTTTCTTGAGCAATTAATTTGGAAACACTGAACATCTTAACATTTGACTTAGAATTTCTGGTGCTACTATTCAAAATACTGACTGCAGCTTCATTGTAAGCATCTATCTTCTCATTAGTGATCATTTTCCTATTTTCACTTAATAGATCTTCATAAACAGGATCTGTACATGAAACACATTTTTTAAAATATATTTTTAAAACTTCTATTTGTAAGAATTGTGATCATGTAAATTAGTTGATCAATATTTTATATTTTCTTCTCTTTTTTTGTACCAGGGATCAAACTCGGGACCTTGAGCTTGAGGCAGGCAGCAGAACCACTGAGCTAAACCCCCAGCCCTCATATTTTGTTCCTGAAGTTCAGATAATACCATGCATCCCAAAATTAATTTTTATGTAAGTATGGCCAAGGTTTATAATAGATTTCTTATATTCAATTTTTGAGTTAATCTATCTCCCTCAAATTTAAAGAACTTGTATCCCTTCTCTATGTATATAGTTCTGGGGAAACACTTTTACAGCAAGTCTTAAGAGTTTAAGATTTTTAATACCAGTAACAAGAAATTAAAACTGAATTATGAAAGATTGCTTTATGAAGAATAGCAGTTAATCATTTTTTCTATCAATGCTTAATTTTATAAACTTCATTCACACAATTTGAAGACAGTAAGGACTAACGTCTATTCTTTTATTACATATTAGAAATAATTTAATTTTTTTCTCATTTTAGTAAGAAAAGGGTTAAAATGAATCTATAAATAAAACAGGGATTTTGGAACAGATTATGATCTCATTTTCTTATTCTTTTCACCTTGACATTCAATTGGAAATAATCATAAGAGTTTCTCACAACCAGAATTGCTAAAATATCCGAGGCATTTCATATTGTGTTAGGCATTAAATAATAGCATTCAGTAAATTCCTGAAATGAACTGACCTAATGCTTATATTCTGTTAAAAAATTTTCATTACCAATCAAAAACTAGGTGGTGTGAATTTAAATATATTCTGTCAATTTGAAAGTATATTTCCAGAATGATTCTAATATCATCAAATAGGCTTATTATTTCTCTCTATATACAATATTTTAAAAAATTTTTTAAAAATCAGATGTATCTCTTTGTAACATTTTTGTGCCATTCTGCTTGCTGAGGTTCCTTGGAAGATCTTATTTATTTATATTTTCCTGTTCCTTAAAATAAAAAAGGAGGACACAAATAACTCATTTAATCTTGCAAACCTTATTCCAAAAGTTATACTCATAAAGCAGTAATTTTGCTTCTTGAAAAGAAGATAATAAAACTCATGCCTTCAAATATATACAAAATGACATTTTTTCATTATTCATTCCTTACCTTGTAAGACCCAATAAACATCACTAGTCTTTGCCAATTTTTCTAGAAGTGGTGCTATGGAAGTAATATTCATTTTATACTGAGAAAGTGCTTCATTGCTACCATTGTGAATCTTGATGGACCACTAAGAGTAGAAAGTAAGCATTAATTCAGTGTTTATTACAGAAAAATTAAAATATATAATTTATCTATTGTAATAAAGGTTATTTTAAGATAATTCCTGTTTTAATTAATATTAGAATAAAATTTCATCAAATTATTTCATGAACTATATAAAAGCAACTGCAAAAAGCTACAATCAACTTAGACTTCCAAGGTTAGCAATCAAGAAGAATACTATAAAACTAGATATAAAGTGAAATTTAAAACAAAGTTTACTAAGTTCACTCAGATCTGTTGTAATTCATCAGTCTAATTATAACAGACACAGGAATTATATATAAATACAATCAAGAATTCTATTTAACAAAAATTAACTTTTTCTTTTCACGTCCTTTAGCGTGAAACAGAAATCACAGTATAGGATAACAAATAAGAACTTACTGTGGCAGCTCCTGCTACAATCACATGGGGCTTTGTGGCAGAATCCTAAAGGAAGAAAAACCTTTATAATCATGCTATATTCAGTTCAGCGACTGAATACAAGTAACGTAATTTACTTTTTTCCCCCTTAAAATGCAAGTTCTTTCATCTAAATCATTTTAAATTCCCAGAATTCATTACGGGACTCTTGTCATTACAACATAGACATCCAATGCTTAAACTCTTACATGGCTGCATGATTATACAGTATGATACAGGACTTGTATGTTTAATTCTTTGGTGTCATTACAAAACACAAAAAAGCACTACTGAAATCTAACATGACCTAACATTATTCTGAATGCTAAGTAAATTGCTTAAAGTTCTAGTGTATTATGTCAGTCAATTAAGAGGTAATCATGGAAGCCCACAGGGTACAGCAGATGCAAGTGTTAAATAAATCACAAAGTCAATGCCCTATGGAAACATACTCTTTTGGGAAAGCTAAATCTAACATGTATTTAACAAAATAAACTGATAATTACTAAAGACTGCATGCAGGGAAAAAAAAAAAAGGAGAAATACTCAGCAGCTACAAGTTACATTATTTCTAGTTATCTTACTAGTATAAAACATACATGTGCGTATACGGCATAACAATCACATAGTACTTAGTAGTTTACTAAGCATTTCTCTTAATTTACCTCATTTTAATAAAAATTGTTACTAGACTGTAAAGTACACAGAAAGATATTGAATACATTTTACAATACAATGATACAGACTTGGAATAATTAACAGGATACTGATGAGGCCTGGCAGATATAGTCAGAACTTCACTTTCCTAACTTTTGAATTCAAGGCACTTCATATCACATCAAAAATATCAAAAAACAAATATTATAATAATGTGCCCAAGAAAAATCCGACCCATATAAAAAATAAAAATGACCATTATTATTTTCTCATTATAAAGGTAATATATGTTCAGTGTAGAATACCATCAAAAGAGAAAAAAATAATAAAATAAACCTATTTTCCTTCAGAGATGTGTCCATTTCCAGAACAGTATGGTTCATTTTACATCATTAAAGAATTCAATGAAACAGATTCTGTTTTTTAAAGTTTGTCTTCATGCTTAGGTAGCTGCCTCTCTTACTCTTCATAGTGGTCAATATTTGTTTTTGTTTTTTTTGGTACCGGCAATCGAACCCGGGACCTCGCGCTCCCACAATAGGAAGCCATAACCACTGAGCTAAATCCCCAGCCCTGTAGTGGTCAATATTAGTTACACAGATTCCACTTGTCCCCTCTTCAGCATCAAGTCTAATTCACATACTTCAAAGAAAAAGAAATTTACATGACATGCGTGCTCCTGCCTTCCTGTCTCCATTCTTACAATCACATCTATATATCCACCTACCCTATGTTCCTCTGACAAGACAGTAAAGAAATGTGTCCCTGTCCCTCTCAACGAGGATCCTCTTACTCTTGTGTCTTGATTCCCTCCCTTTCCACTTGTGGAACTGCGACTCACAAGTCACCTCTGACTCTCAGAGTGACAATCATATCCTCCTTTTTTACTCCCCTTTCTTCCCTCTCCTGAACCATGCTAAGTCACCTCCATCCTCTCTGGGTTTCCTTCAACCCTGATTTACTTTCAGTTTCACTCCTCACATCCATCACCAACAGAGAGAGCCTCCTGTCCTCAGTGTGCCAATTTCTTTTCACTCATGTAGGCCTCATGCTATCACATACTGGATTTGGACTTCATCATTCATCAGAGCCCATTAATGAACTCAGGACTGCCAAGTCCTACACCTTCATGCTGCTTCAGTTTAGTTCCTAAAGTGGCAGTACTGACTATCCAACTTATAAGATTCTCTCTTCCCCTGTACAGTAAAGTCCATCCTCTCTTGCTTTTCTCTCTATCCCTCTTACCCCCACTTCTCAGAATCCGCTTGATAATTCCATCAGCTACAAACTCTTCCTTTTTAGTCTCTCATTCTCTACCTACAATTTCTTCCATTCAAATAACTTCTTGATAATTGTATCACCTACAAACTCTTTTTAGTCTCTGCATTCTCTACCTACAATTTCTTCCACTCAAATAACTTCTAACATCACCTCAATTTTTATTTTTAGAAAATACACTCTAGAGTATGTAGAAAAGAAAAGATGCACAGATAGGTGGATAAAATTAATCCCCCCAAATATGGCTTAGAATATCATTCCTCCTCTAGTATGTTTACCTCATCTCTTATCAACTCTCCCCAAAATTAAGTACATGAAAAGTATAACCAAAACCAAACACAAATAAAAGCACTTTGTACTTCACTACCAAACACATTAAAACTGCTGAGGATTTCTTGAATAGGTTATCCCTATCTTACCTGTTGTCTACACGTTTGTTTTATGAAAATTTGAACACATTTTCTCAGTGACACAAAATTATAAATAGTGGCTAGGTTCCCATGTGATCCTACAAAAACCTATTTATTGTATGATATGGTGCAGACCTACACATTTACTGTGAAAAGAGGCAAAAAAATAAAACAACAAAACTGTTGCAAACAATGGGTCAAATAAAGTCAACAAAACTATTTTATCTATCCCAAATGCAAATACCTTTAGGAAAAATACAAGTTTGATTAAGACTGACAAAAAGCTTTGTGGAGACCACAGAAGAGATTGTAACATGGAACTTAGGAGAACTTAATGATTTTCTGAGGTTTAACAGCATGTTTGCCCTTATAGCTAATTTATCTCCAAGCATTATAAGCTAAAACATACTACTCTTATCTTCTGGCTCATAAATATAACAATAAAAGAAAAGAGAGGATTAAAAACAAAATCAAAGAAATTTCCCTTAAGTGTCTGAACATAAATATGAGAAGGATAAAGTGGAAAAATGCTCAAGAGGATGTAAATTGTGCTAGACAGATTACCTGGGTTTGAATTGAGGTGTAACAGTAACAGAAAATTTTAAATCTGGAAAGTCTGTTACAAGCATAATCTGCTTTACGGTTGAGATGGTGATAACAGGGCAGAGACAAATGGCTTGTACTTACTCTTCCTAGTGAGGTGCTAGAATCAGTCTAGAAGCAGGTGGACATTAGTATAACAGGGTGAGATAGGTGAGCAAAAGAAAGCAAAACAATGGTTGCTCATGAGCTTTTTAAATTTAGTTTCTCAAAGAAAGATCAGTATTTTCAAATACTGACCTCAGTCCACATTTTGATACACTGTTTCATAGAACCATTAACTTCTGGGTGCCACAGAAAATCCTAAAAGAGAGATTTTTTTAAAGTAAAAAACATTCTTATTCCACTATTCAAAATAAACATTAATATTCTCCTATAGATTACTTACTTAAAAGTGAAATAACACTTTGTCTAAGACATCTCCAATCTCACTTTGGCAAAAGTCTCACAATAGTCCTCCTTGTGTCCATTTTTGCCCTTTTATACTCTCCACATTTTAGCCATAGTAATCTTTCAAAAATTTAAATCTGATCCTGCCACATCCCTGTTTAAAAATCCAAGGACTCTGAACGGCTCTCAAAATAAAATCCTCAAATCCTTAAAACTGCTGAAGAGTAGAGAATGTGGCCACACCTGTACCTTCTGTCTGTCCTCCTCCTACTTTCCCCTTGCTCTCTCTTCGGCTCTTGCAAAGTTCCATGTGCACCCTAGTGTCTAGCACTTTGCATGTAGTGTTCCTTCAGCCCGTAATGTTCTACCTCTTCCACTAAGGTCGGCCAGTCCTACCTGTCCCTGAAGCTTTGGCTAAAACATTACTTCTTCAAGGAGGAAAACTACTTCTAATTCTTTACTCTGTACACTCCTACTGCCCCACTTTTTTGTTTCTACGCTTTCTATCCTCTTGTATGTGAGTGTAGGGAACTATAATGACCACAAACTCCATTAGGTCAAGTACATTTTTATCTTGACCCTCACTGAATTCTCACTGATTGGGAATTCAGAAAATTTACATATATTATTTTATAGACATTAATCCTGAACACATATTGGTATCTTTTTTCCTGGATAAAAATTTGGGAAATCAAACTTCCTATTTTATTACATAAAATAACTTACATAAACATTTATTCCACTATCTTATTATCTGTACATACTCTTAAGTGTATACTAAAGTCTGTTTAGTATGTACAAAGCATTAGCTCAACTACAAATAAATTTACAAATGAATATAACTTCAACATTATAACATTTAGTTTACTAGGACATGAACTTACCACTTTGACTGATGCAATCTTGTCTTCAAAAGGAATGTTTTCATGCTACCATAAAAAAAGGAGATAATAGAGAAACTATAGATTGAACTTTTATAAGTAAGTCTCCCTTTGGTTGCTTTTGTTGATTTTTATTCCCCACATCCCAATTACCTATACATACAATCTGAAAAGAAAAAAAACTAAAAGAAAAAAATGAAAAGAAATTGTTTATATGTGATGTTCAACATCAAAAATAAAGCTTGAACTACAAACAAACACATACATGAACATACCTATATAAATTATCTTCTACCAAGCTCGCCATGGTTCCAATTCAGTCCTAGGATTACTACCTATGGCAGAGATAGACTGCTTCCCTACATTTTCTGGGTTTCTTCCACATAAGTAGGGTTATACAACTAGTCCTAGACAACACAAAATGGCTAGATGTGATGTGGGTTACTTCAAGCCTGAATTTTCCAGGGCAATTCTCTAGTTTCTAGCTCACCTAACACAAGAGACTGAAAGAGCTGAATGTTACAAAGTACACTAGAAAATGGTACAAATTCTGATTGTGGGAATCCCTGAATGGCTCTGAAGCAAAGCCTCTTGCCAACCCATCTAGAACATGTAGCACTAAGTGAGAAATTAATTCTGCTTCGTTTAGATAGTTTGTTGTGGCAGAAATATCTCATCCAGCTTACCAGCACACTAGTATTGGCCCTGACTGAGCAGGAATGGATATTATAACTCTAGGTTATAGTAGGTTACACTCTGAAGTCAGTAGGTGAATAGTCTCGTAGAAAAAGTTAAAATTTGGAGACCATAAGTGTTCCATGTAAAAACTCGAAATCCTTTCAAAGTTAGAAATCCTGGGTATGGCAGGAGTATCAATAAGAAGCTAATTGTGTTTCTAAAACTAAGGTTAAAATGTTTTCTTTAATTTAATCAGATAGGTAATATTTACATTTAAATCTCAATGAAATCAAATTTGCTTTTTTTATCAATAGGCTAACTTTCTGGATTCTTGCTGGTTCTCCTAAAGCAACATTTCCTAAAAGGAATCTTGGGACCATTTACTTAAGGGTGTATGTTTTGTCATCTGAAGTTTCCTTGATCAAGTAAGTGTGGGAAATTCTGAGTCAAACAATATGATGGAGGTGTTCCTGCTTTCCCATCCCCTCTCTTTAAAATTTGTCCTCTGAGAAATAGTAGACTATATCATAAACTTTATATTTTTACTCCTTTGCACAGTTTAGTTTAACCCTCATTTCCTTTATTATTTTAACATAATGTCTGATATATACAAAAATTCACATACACAAACTTCATAAAGCACAGTAAAAAGTAAGTAAACACTTACAAATCCATGATACAAATCAGAGCACAAAGGACACACTAATTACCTACGTGGTCCTCTCCCTGCCTTAACTCCTGGCTTCATCCAAAATATACTCCACTATCTTGAATTTTGTTTATACTTTGCTTGTTTTTTTCTTACATAGTTTTGATGCATGTATGTGTTCTTAAACAATGTATCATTTAGTGTTGACTTTCTTCCCAACTGTTAATATTGAAAAATTTCAAGCTTACAGTGAAGTGGTCAAATTAACATCTAAAACCCTTTACCAACTGTTAACATTTTGTATATTACCTTAGTCTTTCTTTTTCTCTATACTTTTTCTCTTTTCCTGAATTATGTAAAAGTGCATAGCAGATACCCTAACATTTCACCCTTAAACAGTTAAACATCTATCTCCTAAGAATATAGGCATTCTCCTGAACACTATAATCCCATGTATGAAATTAGACATGTATATTTTATCTCATTTAATATATAGCCCATATTTAAATTTCCCCAGTTTTCCAATAATATCTCTATAGTTATTATAATTTACAATCCAATTAAAATCAGATATTACACTTAGTTGTCAAGTTTCTTCAGTCTCATTTAATCTAAAACACTCTTTGTTCAATTTATTACTGTCAAATATATTTATTATTTTTATAGAGTCTATATCAGTTGATATAATACACCACAATCTAGATTGTCAATAGTTACCTTCTTGTATCTGTCCCTTAGTATAGGAGTGTCTCTAATAATAGTTCCACAGGCTATACTAAATGTTCACCTTCACATGATACATTTTAAAAATGGTTCAGAACTCCATATGTTGGCATAAAGATAATTAACTTTTAACAGCTTTATTAAGTATTAGAACTAATGTCTGCATGCATGTTCGTCTTATAATCTGCTATCTTACGAAAATCTATTACGTCTAGAAAGTTTTCTATAGATTCTTTGGGCTTTTCTATATAGATAATTGTACCAAATGGACTGCTCAATTTTCATCCATCTATCTATCTATCTATCTATCTATCTATCTTTTTTTTTTGAGACAGGGTCTCACTATGTAGCCCAGGCTGGCCTCAAACTCACAACAATCCTTCTGCCTCAGCCTGCAGAGTGCTGGAATTACAGGCATGAGCCACTGTACCCGGCCTAGCTATGTCTTTTTAAAAGCAATTTGAAAATCTGTGCTTAGCTTTTGCATTTATTTTTATTATAAATAAGTTTCTACCATCTTATTTTTCTATTTCTATTCTTCCTACATGTAATTTGTTCATCTATGTGTAATATATGTAAAAACAGTTTTGTGTGTGAATAGATTTTGGGTGGATGCACATTGTATATGAGTATAAATGTTTGTATAAAGTATATATTTGGCACTAAATGAGTTTTTTGCTGGTTTTTTGTTTTGTTTTGCTTTTATTTTCTGAGACAGAGTCTCACTATGTAGTTCTGGCTGGATGTGAACACACAGTGATCCTCCTGCCTCAGCCTCCTGAGTGCAGAAATTACAGGGATATGACCACACCTGGCTGCTGTTGTTTTTTGCTTAACTTTTTTCTTCTGGTTTGGAATTTGCATATCCTAATTCTATTGTTTTAGTCTTCACTCTTGAAGTTTTACTATACATCTTTAGGTTCTAAAGAAAGACAGTATATTAGAGAGCAGAGGATATTAGAACATTTAATTGCATTTATCTTCCTCTGACTTAATGTGCTATAAGCATACTGGCCAGTTCTCTAGTTCTGTCTCTTCACTAAGGGCAAAAAGACATTATTATTTTATACAACTGTTTAGATTTATATACATACTACTTATAATTTCTTATATTTCAGACCATTTTTCTGAATATTTCCCTTCTTGCTGATATGTAGCCATTAGAAACTTCTTTTAATGTAAATTTATTTGGCAGTAAAACCTAATAGCTTTTGGATTTCTGAAAATCGCTTCTCAGCCTTTTGGCTAAGATCAAGTGTGGATTTCTGAAAATGCCCTCTATTTCAAGAACAACAGAGACAGCTTTATCCTAGGCACACAATTATAGGCTGAAACTTACTGCTACAGCTTGGATGTGAAAGTCTCCCAAAGGCCCTTGTGTTAAAGGCTGGTCCCAGCTTAGCACTCCTGGGAAGTATGAGGAATTTTAAGAGGTGAGGCTAAGTCTTCAGGTCACAGGAACGTGCTCTCAGAGCAACAGTGCAACATCACTCTCTTCCTCTCTCCATTTGCTTCCCAGCCAGGAGATGAGCCAGTTACTCCACCACACGCTTCACCTGGGGTGTGCTCCTCAGCACAAGCCCAGAGCAAAGGAGGCCAGCAGATCATAGGGTGTAGCCTCCAAACTGATGTGTTCCAATGGCAGTAAGCTAATTACTCTCTCAGAACTGTTTAGATATTATTCTACTGTCTGCTAGCTTCCAATACTGCTTCTGAGAAGTATGCTGGTCCAAAGCTTGGTCTCTACACACAGGAAACTATAGTTATGGGCATCTGCCTCCAGGCTGATACAAACTACCACCTGTCCACTATTATTGCTCTCACCTCCAGTTTTGCCTCATATTTCATTTCTTTTTTGAGGAGTATCTCCCATTTTCTCATAAGTTCAGAAACATATCAATAATACTTTTTAAAGTCTAGGATCTAATTGGCTTGAAACAAATGGGGCCTCTAGAGTATCCAGCCTGCCCTATGGCTAGAAGCAACACAATAGGGGTTTCTATACTGCAAAACTTCACAAGTATAATATCCTAACCTAAATTAAAACCACCAAACATTTGATTGGAGCTTCCCACAGAACTAATCCTCCACAAAGTGCAATTTGACAATATTTACCTGTAAAGTCTCTTTAAAAACAAATTACTGCAATATAAAAAGGCAACAGACTCAAAGAATTATCTTCAATTCTCCTATTCCATCTACTGCAGACCCCTGAAACATTATCAGAAACCTCTGCCTTAGGCTCCACTCTCTGCCCAGTGTATGAAGGAAGCCTGAGGAAAAAAACTAAAAGACAGAACTAAGAGAGACAGAAAGTGGGGCGCCAGGACAACCAATGCCAGTGCAATTGACAAAGGCATGCTGGTCCATCCAAACTACTGATTTCTATCGTAATCAGTTGAGATAAAGGCAAGCTACGTGCAAGGGCAAAACTACCCGCAAGGATGCACAATCCTGTAGTTTTTATGGAAATTAATGTAAGCAAGGCTCATAAAAGACAAGACAAAGCATTCTCGAATTAGGAACAGAGTAGACAAAATACACTGTTGTTAATTAGAACACTGTCCTTCTGGTTAAGAAGGTTTTAGTTGTGGGAACAGAATTTGGGTGTGAGTTACTCTGACCTCAGCATATAGGTTTCAGCCAGACTCACTCCTATAAACAAGCCAATTGTGGAGTTAACTCTTCACAGTCTGTATTGGGCATAATCAACATTGCAGTCTTCTGCACATCCCAAGCATATCCATACCAAGACTTACAAGATTAAAAAAAAAAGCTGAGCCAACACTGCCATCCCTATAATAAACCCACTTCCTACATCCTGCCAGATCTGACTTCTAAGAGTTTGTTTTGTTAGACAAATTTCTATCTATGTTCATACTTTTTTCTTCTATTATCTTTATCCAGTTTTAGGATTAGCACAATGCTGATTTCCTAAAATGAGGGGAGAAGTGTTTCTTTTTTTTCCTGCTTTAATTGTTTGATATAATTTATCAGTTAAAATGTTTATGAGCCTGCTGTTGTCATATGGGTAGGTTTTCAAGCTAGGATTATACTTTCTTTAATAGGTGCTATTCAAATTTTATATTTCCTCCAGAGTCAGTTTCATTAATTTGTCTTCCAAGGTACTTCTTAGAAGTTGTCAATTTCAAGAAAGATTTTTTTAATACACTTTCTATATCATTTTAGATTCTGTAAAATCTGTGGTAATGTCTATATCTTGATATGGTAATTTTAAAAAAGTATAACTGATATTGTGTAATAGGAAGCAAAGGTCTAAAGGAGTAGGGGAAGTGGGAGGGATAGGGGAAAGGAAAGAAGGGAAAAGAAAAAATATGAGAAAAGAAAAAAGAATGGAAACAAAGTCTTTGCAAATAGGGAAGGGTAGAGGGGGTGAAGGGAGGACATGGGAAGGGGAAAAACTAAGAACCACGATACTCAAGTAACGGTACAAGATCCCAATGATGAATGTAACTGTATTGTATACCTAAAATGTACCAATAAACTTAATGGAAAAAAAATAAAAAGCTTTTACAATATGCCAGACTATCCTAGGTATCCTAGGCACAAGAAATGTATTTTAAAAACTGATGATAGAAAACAGAAAATATCTGCCCTTGAGGTTTTCAGAGATAAGAGAATATATAAAATATAATTTGGCAAATGCTCCACTAGCAGTTTGAATGAAACATATTCTTGATAACTATCTCTTTAGAACTGGGGCACACTATCTTTCCTTCCTTTTAAAAATAAATATAAATTAAAATGTATCTATCTTGTCTGATAATTTTGGGCAACTGGGCATCCCTAGAAAATAAAAACTGGAAAATTACGCATTATAACTAGGGTTCAGAAAAAGTATATCAAATTGTATCTGCTTTTGGAGATGAAGCCTTTATAGCTTCCTTAGCTACTATCAAATTCATTATTCCAATTTTCAGAAACTTATATGATTCTATGCCCAGAAATACTGTCTGTTCTTTGAAATCAGAACTCTCTAGTTTTTAAACGTTTACTAGTTTTTACTTTAAATTGTGGTAATTTCATGTCATTAAATTGTTCTAACTCTCCTATATAATTTGTGTGTGTAATTACTAGTGGAAAATACATTTACAGATAGAAAATACAATGAAAGGCTGACTTTATGGCTTTCCATTATCCCTACAAGAAACAGTTCCTAAGGATTAGTGAGCCACTATCATCATCAACATGTGAATTGCTCCTTCCACATGGCAAGCTGATATGTGCAGGCAGATTTGTCTCATAAATTCATGAGGTATTATTCCTCTTTGTAACTGAGACTTCCTGTACTCCACTTTTCTCTCCTTTCCATTCCTCATTTCTAGTCATATGCTATTTGAACATAGTAATAAGAAGCTAGATCACTTAAAACTATGAATAGGATGAGATAATTCACCAAAAATAACTAATTAACATATAAAAGATAATGATCCTTAAGTTTTCTTAAAATGAGAAACTTTCTTTTTTTCTTTGTACTGGGGATCGAACTCAGGACCTTGCGCTTGCGAAGCAGGTGGCAGCACCACTGAGCTAAATCCCTGCCCCAAACTTTCTTAAACTATTCTTTTTTTCTTTTTTGGTATCGGGGATTGAACTTAGGTCCTTGCACTTGCACAGCAGGCAGCGAAACCATTGAGCTAAATCCCCGGCCCTCTTAAACTATTCCTAAAATGAGAAACTTTCCATCTAAATAGAAATTCACAGTGTTGCTGCTTTAATCTATAGCATGATCACCCAGTGCCAGAAAGTCTGCAAAAAATTAGGTGCCAAAATATATTGCTAATCAGAATATAAATTGAAACAGTTTGGCAATATAATTTTTAAATGTTTATATTCATTAATATTTGCATTGTACAAATTCCATCTTAAGAAAATAATTTAAAAAACAAAATTTTCACACAAGGATATAGACGGAAATATCCTTTTATATTAAAAAAACTAAAAACAATGAAGGTTATACACTCAAAGTATATTGCCATTAATAAGATACTTGAGTTGATTATATAATAACATGGAGAATTACGATAAGTGCTGAGGAAAAAAGCAAGACAAAATTATACATGCTAAAAGATTATCTGAAATAAGAAGAGTCTAAAAAGAAATATGGCAAGATATTAAAAGAAAAGGGATATTCTCTCTTTTTCTTCTTTTTAAGGAATTTTAAAAAGTTTTCCATGGTAAAAAAATTTATTCTGGAAAATTAAACGTTTAAATTAATAAATAGTTTGCCAATACCTTACTGTCCACTTCTTTCTCTTATTTCCCCATTACAGCAAATTATCCCTGTCTTCTCAATTTTCCCAAAATGAGAAGGGGAACGAGGGAGGGGGTAGGGGGGAAAGAAAGAAGGGACAAGGAAAAAAAAAAAGAGAATAGAAGGAAAAATTGGAAACAAAGTAAATGAGGGGAAAAGGGTCAAAGGGAGAGGGGAATAGGAAAAAGAGAATCAAGCTATATCGTGTACAGGTACAAATTCCCTATGATGAATGTTATCGTTATGTACATCTAAAATGTACCAATAAATGTTTTTGCTTAAAAAAAAAAGTAAACAAGCGAAGGAGAAAACAACTAAAAAAACAAAGTAAAACTTTTATAGTTCCTACTACTGATTTAGAGAGGCACATTCTTTCTATAACTATTCAGTTGGTTAACTTCTAAAATAGCACCTGAGAGAAAGGGAAAAAAAAGACTTACCTTATTTCCCTCTTCTTTGAACTGGGGATTAATTATTTTTACAAAAGAATAAAACAATTGACGAATTCTGGAATCTCCAATAAAGGCAACATGTTTATCTACAAGGCAGTTCTTTGCTTCACTGAAATCAACACAGAAAACATTAATTAAAATAAGTGATATCAAGATATTAGCATTTCAAAGCATATGGTGGGGAGGGATTGCTATACATCCCATTAGACATAGGTGTTCAGGTCTGTGTAACTAACCAGTCCATGTACTTATTATCAACTAATTCTCACTAGTAACAGTCACATTCAGTAAGCATTTAAGAAGTGCCCTTACTGTCGTAACTGTTTTATATCCATTATCCCAGAACTCCATACTGTAGGTATCTAAGTTGCAAAGCAATAGTCCTCTGCTCTGTGGTTACCCTAAGCTTGGTCACCTCTCCCCTGACATAAAGCAGCGAGGCCAAAGCTCTTTCTCAAAAGCTGTAGTTGGTAATCTTCATTTGGAATCAGCCCCAATCCTTACTCAGGCAGCCTCTACCTGACATACACAAGAAAAGTACTGTACCCTGCTTTACTGCCATCTCTCCACCAGAGAAACAAAACAAACAAAATGAAGAACTCTTACCTGATTTTGTATTTATGCATCATGCAACTGTGAGGTTGCCAAACTTTTTCTCCAAGAAATCTGCCACTTGAGAGAAGGTATTCACATGAATCATTGCCTATAATAATATTAAGATATCACAATGTTGTATTATAAAAATAGCTATTTTTTCATGTCAGTTATCTTGATCCCATTTAAGCTCCCTGAGATCAGAGAGTACACAGTTTTCTATGCTTTCCTACACCTTCCAGGTATAGCTAAACCATTCATGAGAGTGTGATAAATATCCATACATTAATATTCAAGAAGATAAGAGCCAGTTACAGTTTACACTTTACGCTGTAAGAGATTCCAAACTCCTAAATACTATGTCCAGTGTTTTGGCAGTTCCTTACACTACAGTGCAGGCTCTTTCCAGGGACATCATCTCAACCTCAAACTAGCCTTATATGTTCATCACTCTTACTTCTGATTAAGAAATTCAGGTTTAAGGGATAAAAGAGAAGACTTTGGAAATAACTTTCTATCCAACTATTATAATACATATGCATTAGCGTATCTAGAGACCTGGGTTTAGACACAAAGGTCCATAGCTAAGCAACTCCTCTGTCTCGTGTAAATTGAGGCAGAGCCACTATATATCCCTGGCCACTTTGCTGGCACATTGGCCAAGTATACATGACTCAAGGGTGAAAGGGTGATATGGAGGCATTAAAGAAGCTGAGCTATATCAAATGGATGAGGGGAAATGAGATATTTAGATCATCTTAACTGGGGGATTATAATGAAATATAAATTTAATTTAATCTCTAGTACTTTATCAACAGTTAATAGCAAGCTAAATTTTACAATTACTTCATGTCAGGCTAAGGAGTCTGCTAAGAGGAATATTGCAGAACAAAAACAGTATTGAATTATTCAAGGTAGAAATGGGAAGGATTCAAAGATAATTAAAGTACAAAAACACATCTCTTTTTTCAATCGAGTTCTTCATTTATCTGGCCAAAATACAAACACAAGCTGATACAAATGTAAAACAGGTATGCAGAAGTACAAAATGTACTTGTTGCTTTAGTGTTGTCGGTTTCAAACAAGATAGGACCAAAAAGTGAAAACACTACACTGTCTCACTGGTGGAAAAGTGAGGAAAGAATGTATCAACGATTAAATTGTTATAATTATATATGTAAGATTGGTACTGGGGATTGAACTCGGGACTTTGTGCTTGCGAGCCAGGCAGCAGCACTACTGAGCTAAATCCCTGGGCCATTATACTTATATATGTAGCCTGAGCAAGTTCTTTTTTTTTTAACTTCAAATATTTTTAATAAGCTGCCTTTAAGTATAAATAACTAGTTCTTAATTCTTCCAAGTATTAAAACTAATTCTAGGGCCAGGGATTTAGCTCAGTGTTTCCACCGCCTGCCTCGCAAGCACAAGGTCCTGAGTTCGATCTCCGGTACAAAAAAATAAAAAACAAAAAAACAACAAAAAAAACTACATAAATAATCAAGGATGAATAAATAAAAGGGCTATAGGAATACATAATTCAGTTATTTTCCTAAAAACAACATTCCTGAAGCATTCTTTTACAATGATCATATAGTAAAATCTTATTTAAAATCCAGTAAAGGTTTAAAATCAGGATGAAAACTTCATATTTATAACATCTCTAAATGGTAAAAAGGTTGCACTTGGCTTGTTGTTATCCAATGCTCAGGTGCTGGGGTGATGCTGGGGCAACTTCAAAGAGGGCTGTGTGTGCCCACCTTGGCATGAGTGCCACAGGTTCATCACCACTGCTCTAAAACAAGTTCTTTTTCTTGGGAAGGCAATATTTGAGATCAAACTATTAAATGTAGATCTAGATATTAAAGTATACAATAAGATACCACAGCTTTATTATGTATATATGTAAATATCTGCTGGAAAATACCCTTCTTAAATATGCCAAAGACAAAGCAAAAACCCTCAGTCATTATTTTCTATTGTCTAAGACAATTCTGATAGCTCCTTTATTTATTTATTTATTTATTCATTCATTCATTTATTTTTCGGTACCGGGGATCAAACTCAGGCCCTTGCGCTTGCCAGGCAGACGTGGTGCCACTGAGCTAAATCCCTGGCCCCCGATAGTTACTTAAAACATTCAACATGATATGAAAATTACAAAGTGCTCAGATAAATCAAGCTAGGAATACAATTTTTTTTTAAGCAACTAAAGAGATATGTACTTCAACTCGAGGAATAGCCATCTTCCTCTTTATTTTGTTATCTTAAGTATAAAAATTTTCCTTTGTCAATCTATACTTGCAAATATTTATGCACATTTTTCCATAAAAGAAAAACATTTAATAGTAAACAAAGTAAGTAGGCAAGCAAACAAAAACCAAATTGAAACCTGAAATGTAACAACTAAAGAAAACATCTGATTTCCTAAACAAATCACAACTTAGATGTTCTCTTGGCCTGGAATACCTCTGGACCTGTACCTTTAGATAAATTATCCTACTAAGCTGCGTGTTTCCTACTACCAACCAGAAAAACACCAGATCACCAAGTTTATAATACAATCTGTGAAATATTCATTTGCCTAAAATTCAGCAAGTTATATTTTAGTCTGTGTTGAAAAACACCATTTATATATTTTTGAGACAAGCTAAGAGTGACTCATTACGAATAATGTCATATATGACCAGGATCTTTCTAGCACTCAAAGAAAATGAAAGGGTAAGAGACCTATAGCTACTTCTTAGTTAAATTTCTGAAGGTTTCAACTTTTTTTATTTTTAGTTTTATTTTTTTTGAGACATGGTCTCATTATGTAGTTCAGGCTGGCCTCAAACTCAGGGCAGCCCTCCTGCCTCAGCTTCTCGAGCGCTGGGGTTACAGGTATGTGCCACCACAGCCTGTTCCAGTTTATTTTTCTCTAAAACACCGAATAATATTTATCATTGGTATTTAATATGCTCAGTGACAGAAAGGAATTCAACTTCAACAAAAGTTAATTTATCAATTTAAATAATTAAAATTTATCCAGATGGAAATATTTTTAAGGCTATAACACTGGGCTCTTGTCACAGAAATGTTTTAAATCTGTAATCACTATTAATCCACATTTTGTGATTTAAGAACATAAGAAATTGAAAAAATTTAGAAAAAATATAGTTGAGTAATTTTTTAAATGTCAGTTATTATGAAATAATGCAAAAAAAAAAACCCTCTACTTTTAAAATTGACATTAGAACATGAAATTCAATTAAAGCCACAAAAGAACCAAAAGCAGAGAGGAAAATGGAAGGAAACAAAGACTGAAAATCTACCCGATAGTTGTTTGTGGGGTTCCTACTGTGTGCTGGACTCGGGATTTACAGATGAAGATTCCCTTGGAAGCTCAGTTTGTGGGGAGATGGCAGATACCAATTATTACAATACCACAGGATAAATAGGCACAAGTCAGTGTGGCAGAATGGAACCAATTCCTACCTCCTCTGACAATGACCTTTGAACAGGTTCCTAGAAGGAAAACATGTAGTGTCTTTCAAGCTGAGAGGTCACTGCAGGCAGAGGAAAACCATGTCTACTACGAGAGGTGTAAAAGGGAAAAGGATGCTTAGACTGTGAGGTTGGAGTTTAAGAAGAATAAGAAAAAAACACGTTACAAAAAAATAGGCCTGTGTCAGATTTTGAAGTTTTATACATACAAATTTTATTAAATTACTTCTTGTTGGAAAAAAGAATAGGAAAACTCTTGGCTAGTATTGTGAGGATGAATTTGTGTTTCTAAATTGCTTAACACATCCTCCCCTGCCCCGGAAAATGCTTTTTTACTTCATCTTCCACAATTCTCACCATCTAAGAAGCTCTGAGAACAGTGGACTATCACATACTGGCAGGAGACAAACTAACTCGGTCCTAATCCCAGCTCAGTCACTCAATAGCTGTGTATCCTTTTATGAGACTTACTTAACCTCTCCAGCCTTACCTTTAAAATGTAAATAAAACAGTAATTCACTGGATCTAAAAACACTGATTATAAAACACATCACTATTTTGTCATAGCAAAAAAAAAAAAAGTTATCAACTAAACTTTGACATGCCATCAAAGTTTTGAAGTCTTATCCTGATCAGGGATGCCCAACAGGGGTGGGGAGCGAAACACGGTAACTGCGTGTGCCCCACAGAATAGGTGGAAAACAACACAAGTTACCATATGTAAAATCCTCAGTGTAGCAGTGCCTTACATATCATAAGTGCTCAAAGTCAACACCCAGCATTTTCAAGTTTGACTTCCTGTGTGTGATTCTTTTTACTTCCTCTGTGTGATTCCTTGTAGGTGGTAAAGGAAGAGAGACTACATATGTGTATTCAAACCGTACCCACTGTGCCTTGCCTGAGGCATACATATACCCACACCCAGGATCCCAATACACAAACTCACTCCTCACTCTCACGTGATATATAAGGTCCTTTTTTGCTCTAAAGATCAACAACGTGGTTCAGGAGTATGCCTATGCTAGCATGAAGGACAATGCACCTGACACTGCCTGACACTGCCAAAACAGGGGATGGCTAAAATGTTCCTTGGAAGCTGTTTGTTTTTCCAAGCAGTCTCTGGCTCAGGTTCTCACCACTCAAGTGTGAACAAGTACACACACCAGGTGTGGGCTTCACACTCCAGGCCCTGATGCACCAACAGGAACCAATGACTCGCTTCTGGAGGAGGCTTACAAACAGTTCAATTGCCTACTTGACTCACAAGGGCCCATCTAAAATTCTCTTCCCCCCACTGATGACAGATCTTGATAAGACACAACACATAATCTAAATATAAAAATTAGTATTCAAAGCTTATCAAAAGATAAAAAGCACAGTCATCACAGGAAGAAGGACTCTATATTCACCTTTAGGACAAGAGCACTACAGTTATAAAATTTATCTCTAACATCACACAGATTTGAGTTAATTACTGTTATCTCACACCTAACTAGCATACAATGATTAATGGTACTTGAAAGAAATAGTACTCAAAATTGTCACAAATCGATGCAACAACACAGCTACTTATATTTTGCATATAAAAGTGCTGGATTTCCATTGCACTGCTTGCAGATCAACCAAAGCCCTGTCAGGTCAAATGGTTGTGAATATGTAAGAGGTTAGAGGAGAGAGGTCAAATAGATGTAAGGAATGTACCTTTTTAGGTCAACTTCGTATATTTATATTATGAGCTGTTCATCCAGTATGGTGCTAAAGCATAAAATTTTTAATATTCAAGAGTTGGCAGGAACAAAATTGATCAAAATGACCTACACTTTGAAAGATCTCCTGGGATTAGAAAACTCTGATACCAGTATCCATTTACTGGATATTTTGCCAAAGTGGGTGTGGAGTTAAATGGACACAGAGATAATGTGCACCTGTCCATTACACATTAGGTCTTCACTAATTAATCTCACAGTCACTAAGAGCTGTCCAGACAATGGCTCTGATAGTACTGAGAGCCAAAAATAAAAGAGCCTATCATTATTAATTTCGCTCCACCTGTCAGCCCCTCCCGTGGTGGCATTTTTTTTTTACATAGGAAAAACACATCTACCAACAAGGACAAGTAAATCCCTTAATTACTGAAAGGTAACTCATTCTTAACTAAAAAGGCCATATTTTTGCTTGGCCTCTGCGCCAATTTGCAAACCCATCCGGAAGGCCTCCATTCAAACTGCTTGCACGTTGTTCTCATTGACCACCTCTACTCCTGTCAACTCCTAACTTCTTTTCAGAAATTAGCCCTGATGTCTTGACTTTCTTTTTGAGAAGCGTGCAACCCAAACCCTGGAGACGTGTGTGAATACCAAAGGCTGAGGGGTAGGTGACCACGGGCATCTCAGGCAGAGACTACCTTGTTGCTGGCCAAGGAAATCGGGCAGCCCTTGCCGCTGTCCAACAGTTAGGCCCTGCAGTTACAGGGCAGAGGCCGGATCCGACGGAGGCGAACGAGCCAGACCCCAACGCCACAGGGCGCGGACTCCGCTCTGGAGGGCGGCCTGTGGGGGGGTGGCCACTCCTTCGCGCCCAGGCCGCCTGCACGCGAGCCCGGCCGCGGCCTCCGACCCGGCGGCCCTCAGGCGGGCAAGCCCGGCGTGGCGACCCCGGTGGGCGGCGGGCGGGACCCTGGCCACGCGCCGGGGCGCGCTCCGCGCGTGGGGACAGCAGGGGCACGTGGGGACACCGCCTCCGCGGGCCGGGCCGGGCCGGGCCGGGCGGGAGGCCGCGAGCGTGGGCGTGTGTCGGGCGAGGGGGCGGCCTCCCAACGCCGCGTCGCCGCCTCCCCGGCCGGCCCGGGGAGGGGGAGGACCGCTCACCTCGGTAGCGGCGAGAGGCGAGGTGACATGCGGCGAGCAGCACCACGGCCCCCAGCGCCAGCGTCTTGGCGCTCCTCACACTGAAGTAGTGGTTGATCTCCCGCTTGCCCAGGTTGTAGGCCAGAGCCGCCATCTTGGTTCCTCCATGACAACAGCGCGCGGCGGCGCGGGGAAGGGGTGCCGCGCAGGGGCAGCACTGGGGCCGCCGCCCGCCGCCGCCCGCCGGGGAGCCTGACCCCGCGGCCCCGGCGCCCCCGGCCTCCGCTAGGCCCTCCTCGGCCTCGCCCCAGACCCGTCGCCGCTGCTCGGCCGTGCCGGGTCCCCTGGCGCCCTGGACGCCTGTCTCCTCCCCTTCCTCCTCCTCCTCCTCCTCCGGAGCCTCCTGCCTTAATAGCGGCTGCGCCTGAGAAGGGGCTCCGGCCGCTGGTGGCGGCGGCTCTGGGGCCACTGGCCCCGGCCGGTCCCCCGGGGTCACCGGTTCACGGGAAGCGGCGGGCGGCTGCGGCAGAGACATGGGAAGTGGACTGGTGTCGGGCGAGTGCTGGACTGACTCCGGGTGGCCTGGCCGCTACCTGAGCCCAGGTTGGGACACTGGAACTACAGTTCCGGGAGCAAGGCTCACATCGACCCGTCCCTCCTTCCCTGTCACACCCTTTTCTGGACTTTCTACTCCCTGAACCCGCCCAGCGTCCTGGGGGCTCAGTGTGAGGCTCTCTGCACCTGTCTGGCCAGTCTGGCTGCACTCAGGTGGTGCCAGCCAGGTGCTGGGATTGCTGGTGGGAGTAACACCCAACCCACGAGGAAGGGCTTAACTCGCTGCGTGGCCCTTTTCTCTTGAAACTCCCAGTCCCCCTTTAATGTTCTGTTTCCCCAGTTCCAGGGGGCATAGATGCACCGAAGTACAGGGTGGAAAGTACAGAATGAGCTGAACGTAGTGTAGGTATGGGTGATAGAGACTTTAATTCTCATGTGTATTGACACAAAGCTTGGCTTGGAGCGCAGGAAAAAACAAAACAAAACGTATGCTTATGACAGTCATCCCTACCCTATAATGGTAAATGTTTTGCAACTGTCAATAAAGCAAGCACTGCTTTACAATTTTTTTTTTAATCCCAAAGAAGTATATTTCTTCTTTCTGGTGGTATCTTTCAGATGGGAATGGTTATTTACATTGCTTGAGGTTGAGATAGTTATCCACATAGCCTATGGTGTTTAGAATGAGGCATTGGTTAGTGGAGGTGTTGTCGAGCATTTTTATAGCTTGGCCATTTAGCTATTTCTGTATGTGTCTATAGGCCCTTCTCAAAATTATAGGATGTAAGATATGAAGGGACTATAGAGATCTTGTCTAATGATTCCCTTTTTATTCAAGGACCCTTTATTATAGTTTCAGCCATGGACTTCATATCCTCAAAGATTTTGTCACTTAAATGAAATCACATATATCACTGTCATGAATGTAATGCTAATAAGCAATAAAGTTAAATAAGTCTAGAAACACTTAGACGCTGCTCTTTGCAAATAGTCTTTTAATTTTGGCTGTCATTCTTCTGATCTTGGGTTGATCATATGCCGGCAGTATTAAATCAGATATTGTAAAAACCAAATAAGTAACTGCTCACAATATATGGTCTGCCAGTCATGTCCTAGACATTCCTATGATGTCATCAACAGCAAATTAGAATTTCTGCTCAAGCTTCAATAACCAGTGTAAGCCCATAGGGTTGATTTCATGCCTGCCAAAAGTAAAGAAACTTGACATTTTATTTAATTGCAATTTCCAGAAGGCTTTCTGAAATATTGTAAATAGCTCGTGAACTTTTTTGTCCTTTCCTCTAATTTAAAGATGATCCTTCTACCTCTGTTCTGAGCCCCCACCCCCACCCTCAGTCTTTGGGGGTTGATTCCTACATCAGTTGTCGCCATTTAAATTACCTTTATTCTGTGCCCTCTTTGAATTCTCTTTCTCACCTGGCTGCCTTCTACCATTAAGTTTCTCTTTTGAATAAAAAATATCCATGGATTCTATGTTCCTGTATGTTTACCTCTCCATGTCTTTTCTCCTCTAACAAACATCTAGAAAGAATAGTGTTGCCTTACAGTTTTCACTTGCTCAATTTCCATTCTCTCCTTAGCACACTTTGTTGTTCTTCATCGAGACCTTTTGTTAAATCTAAAGGACACTTTATATTCCTTATTTTTCTGGACCATTTTATAACATCTGACACTGTTGACCGCTCTACCTAACATTTGTTACCCATCCGTAAGTTTTACTCCTTCCTCTCTAGACCCTTTCTTGGTCCCTCTAAATTGTATTAACCAAGGATCTGTTGTCTGCCCTCTTTTGGATACTCCCTGGTGATGAGATCACTTGGCCATGAGTGTCCTTATCACTCTCCTGGGATCAGTTGCCTTCTTCACACATGCACACACCTGTCTGGTTATGTCAGCCCATATTTATCCCTTCGTCCCCATACTACATCTCTTTTTAAACCTCTTCATAACATCATATACTTCATTTTTTTCACCATCAACCCAGTAATCCAAGATTTTGCAATCATGTTTGTGCTCCTCTAACTTCAAATAGCTCTTCCACTCTCTGCCTCTGTGCTTTTGCCTTGGATAAGGTATGATTTCTTGCCTGCTTCTCTTATTCCTTAAACTTGTCTTCCTCAGGTTTGACTCAAAACTCCAATCCTACACTCTCCGATCCTTCTGAGAAGAGGGAACTTTCTTAAACCTATATCTGATGTATCCTTTGCTGCTAAAAACCAGTTAGTGGCTCCATGCTTATTTAGGGAACCCTAAACTATTGAGAATGTTTACTGACACTTGGCAGGTTGTATCACCTCCTAGTAATCTAAGAGAGGAAACAGAAAAGGAGAAAACACCTGATTGAAATTCTTTCAACAGTTACCTTAAAACAAACATTATGCCTTCCTTCCTGATTCGGCTGTCACTTTTCATCTGTGTTTATGACTGTGTCAATATCATTCACTTGGGAACCTGTTCTCACAAGTTTTCCTTCCTTATTTCTACCTCCAGTTTATCTCTACAATGTTTGCAAATGCTTCCTATCCTTTTGGTGGGCTTGGGTGGGGATTGAGCCCAGAGCTTTCACACTGAGATAAATTGCCAGCCCTTTTCTTATTTTTTTTTTTTTTTAATTTTGGAGCCCTAAGTTTCATGAAGTCTCCAGGTTGTCCAGGCTGGCTTTGAATCTGTGATCCTCCCGCTTCCCATAGTGCAGTGCTAGGATCATTTGTCTAAGACATATTTCATCTTGTCACTTCTCTTCTTGAGAACTTGATGGGTCTGTATTGGAAGAAAATGACTTCCTAATCTCTCAACAAGTTTAAGTGTTTGGTGACCTAAATCATCTCCCTTCTCTTAGCTTCTATTTTATCCAATTATGCTAAACTATGAGTTAAGAACTTTACACGTAAAAATACTTTCCCTCCATATCCTATATTCTATTTATTCTCCCCCTCATATTTCATATTCTATTTATTGTACTTGTTTTGTGTGTGTGTGTGTGTGTGTATTTCTGGGGATTGAATCCAGGGCCTTTTCTGCCCTTTTTAATTTTTATTTTGAGACAGGGTAAGTTTAAGTCACTCTGTTGCCCAGGTTGAACTTGGATTTACAATCCTTCCTAGAGCGCTGGGATTGCAGGTATGTGCCATGCCTAGTTTATTATACTTACGTTTCTGTTTATTTTTTATTTATTCTACTTACTTAAAACTTTTCTCCTTTAAAGATTTGCTATTTTGCCTCTTCCATTAGTTTGAGCCTATACTTCCTTATGTGAGTATGAATCTTTTCTTCTTCCGATTTCTCATTAGCAATTTGTTTCTGTGTTTAAATACACAATCAGCATAGGGCCCCTCTCTTCAGAACAGATATCTTCATCACTTGTGCATACGTGTATGTATATTGGAAAAATATCAGTTCTGTCTTTTGAGCAGTATTTCAATGCATTTTGTAACTTATTCAGTCATTATGTTTATTTTCCTCTTCCTCATTTACTTCCCTCCAGATTTTATGTATTGAGGCAAGAGGTTTAGTCCTTTCTGTAATATTTGTAAAGAAAACTAGTGAACAAAAATATTATGGTTGTCTTCAATGGAAAACCAGGCATTGTCTAGATTATCTAATTCTGTGGGGTCTCTGTACCTTTCACTGTTTTTGAATTGTTTTACATAGTTGTAAATTGCATAATACTTATAATAATGCAAATGATTCTTCTCCATAGAAATGCAAATTATGTCTCATTTGGGATTCAGTTAATTATTGCACTGTGAACACTGAACAGATTTAAAATTTTAGAACTACAGTATTAAGCAAATTTATTTCACCATTCCAGCTGACCCTTATATTTGTAGTTTTTAAAATTTTCCTTTGAACTGGTTGTAATATCTTACTGGTTGCCTTACATAATGAATGGATTCAGTAAAAGCTTTGACATATGTTCATTTTACATCTGATTGAAAGTCAGTTATATCTTTAAAATTATCTTTTAGCACATGGATATGCCTCCAATTTAGTAAATTCTTAATTTCAAATTAAAGATCATTTCATGAAGAACATTACAAAAAATTGAGATACTTTTCTTCTTAGGATTTTTAAGATCATGGTAGAAAATATTTTCAAAACTGAATTTTTGCTTATCTAAATGAGAGGACAATGTCCTCTAGAAAATTCAAAAAGGTTTATTTTTATCACGATGAATTTGAACATCACCCTTTAGAACCTTTGATCAACTCAGGTGTGCCTTAAACAAAACAAGTACCCAGTTTATATTTACTCAGCTACTTACGAACTGATATGAAAGAATAAACGCAAATTCTGAAGTCTTATTCAATTATTTTATGTTTATGTCTTTTTTAAAATCTGGAACTTTTCATTGTAAAATGATACAAAAATCTCAATAATCATTTAGTATTTGTAAAAAGTAAGTTTCATATATTACATATTAGTTTTCAGTATAAGGAAAGCATCCTGAATTCACCTATAATCGTAAGTGTTGAGTTTGTCTTTAAATTAATTGTAGTCACTTGAAGTTAGGGCTCTGGTGCTTTTCACCTAAATTCTCTTATCTCAAGTGCATTCTGTTTTCTTCACTTGCTTAGC